TGTAAAATGTAGACTGCAAAAATGAATATATGGGTGTTTCAAAATGTCTTGAATACAGAATACTGAATTTGGATAACAATTGACTTTTTCTTTTTCGGAATTTAAAGTGGTACTAAACAGCTGAACTCCGCCGACAGACATATTTCAGATAGAGCTGCTAAACTGAGCAGAACCTGTGGACTAAAGAAAAGAGTGAGAGCAAAAGATGGGCGTACATGGGGGTATGAGGAGCAGTGTGATTGGTCTAACAGGTCCACGCTTCAAACTCCGCCTCTGCAATGTCCAATAGTTGGAGTTTGCTTGTTTTTTTTTTACTAGAAAGTTGCAAATAGGCTCTCTTCACGCTTACGTCACAAACCGGGAAGACGTTTGGAAACATGCGATGACAACTTCAGGTGTAGTTACCAACACTGGGTTCACCAAGTCGTGTATCGTGTATCATTCGTTCATTTGTTCATTCATTCATTCATTTTTCAAAATAAAACCAAAAATAAGAAAACGAAAAAACTATTTTCTTCGTTATTTGTCTCCAAAACCAAAAACGATTCCTTTTGTTCAGTTTTGTTTACTCCTGGTTTTGAACTATTTTAGTCATGGTTCAGTTCTGGTTTAGTCCAGGCTCAGTCCTGGTTCAGCCCTGGTTTAATCCTGGATCAGTCCTGGTTTAGTCCTGGAACAGTCTTGGTTCAGTCCTGGTTCAGTCCTGGATCAGTCCTGGATCAGTCTTGTTTCAGTCTTGGTTTAGTCCTGGATCAGTCCTGGTTTAGTCCTAGTTTAGTCCTGGTTTAGTCCCGGTTCAGTGCGCAAAAGTCCGGCATCGCAGTTTATGTCACTAAAAGGGGAAACAGCCATTATCCACTTTTTCCATTATTCATTTAAACACAAAAACTGGAAAAAGTGACAAAAAATGAAGAAAACAGTTGTTTTTTCATTTTCTTATTTTTGGTTTTATTTTGAAAAATTAATGAACGAATGATACACGGATTCTACTGACTGTGACAAAACCCACTGAAGTAAATGTGATCAGCAGTAAAATGAAAACTGCATACGTATGTGCTGTTTGAAATCATCTTGAATTTGGAGTCTCATCTCTTCTAATCGCATGTACCCAGTGCGCTCGGAGTTGTGCGTCAGAGGGGAAACGATGAAAACTAAGGTATGGTTGTAACTGTTGATTAGCCCAACATAACGGAACACTACAGTGACATGGAGATGAAGAAAACTGGGCCATTTTCCCAATTTTCCTAGATTTTCTCAGACTTACTATCACGAACAGAGCCCACATGTTTCTAAACGTCTTCCTGGCTTGTGACATAAGTGTGAAAAGAGCCTTTTGACCTAGTTTGCTCTAAAGTTATCAACAAATTACTAGGAAGAGTAGACAGTACCAGTAAAAATACATTTCCTTCGGGATAATAAACTCTTTCTAATATAATCTAAAACACAGTATAGTATAGAAAAAGTTTAGTTAATGTTTAGTCATGGGTCTCCAACCTGTAGCTTCCAAGTAGCTCGCCAGAGAATTTCTGAATTATGTGTATTGCACTTAATAACTAAAATCTGATTAATTACCTTTGTATGTGTGTCATTTTGATTCTTAACTTGTACAGTAATAAATGGATAATGGTTTATGTTTAATAGGCATCTAATTGTACCCCGTCTAAAGCTTGTCATAGTTCTTCTACTTCTTTAAAATGAGTAGCTCTGGTATTTTCTTTTTATAAAGGTAGCTCACCAGAGGAAAAAAGTTTGGAGACCGCTGGTTTAGTTAGTTTAGGGATTTAGTTAAACTTTTTTCGTCACTGTGTATGGTTTTTAATGGTATTATCTCCTCCCCCTAGTGTTTTTGATAATGTTAGACCAATTAAATTTGCAGCTTTTTGGTCAAAAACGCCTAAATCTAAGTTTGTGCTGCCTTCAGTGGCCTCTGCAGTTTCAAGTAGTTGGTGACATCACAAAAGACTGACCCGATTACAGCCAGAAACTTCTGAAGACAAACACCTGGCTGCAGGGGAGGAGTCTGAAGTGTGGATTCCTGTTAGACCAATCACACTGTTCCTCATATGTCTCACTCTCTTCTTTAGTCCAGTTTAGCAGCTTTATTTGAAATGCGGTTGTTTATCGTGTCATGAAATTTACCTGATATTATTTCGTTGTCTGGAATTAAACATTTGTGTCTTGCATGCATTTAATTCAAACTTTTTAACACCCTGTGAAGCCGCCTGCATGTTATTCATCACAGAGAAAGATACATTAAACGCCATGCCGGTGAATATTCCAGTTAAAGCCATGACATCTCCATGCAGACCCTCCACCGGAAAAGTTCCATAGTGCACCTTTACCTCATAATTTTGAAGCTATTCGTTTCTGCAGTGACAGCAGTGGACCTCTGAACACAGTGTACCAGGCAATCACCCAACCAATTCTCCCCTATGGGATGTGCCCCTCGGTGCTTTACTTCTCTTGGGCTGTGAAGCGGAGCGTATAGGTGAAAGATGCTGATTTCATGGTTGAAGTTGTAGGCGGTGGATACAAGGAGGAGAGCGAGGGGGGAGAGAGAGAGGGGAGGAAAGAGAGGGAGGAGAGAGAGGGCGTTAAATGAAGTCGGAGAGGGACAGAGGGCTGGACGAAGCGGTGAGAGTTAGGGGGGAGAGAAAGGGAGTTAAAAGAACGGGGAGGCAGAGAGAGACGGAGAATGAGCGCTGTTAGACAAAGGGGAAAAGAGAAGGAGAGGGGTAAAGAGAGAGAGAAGGAGAGAGGAGTTAAAATGAAGGGGGGAGCGAAAGGTAAAGGGAGGTGGAATGGCGAAGGAGGGAAAAACAGGAGAGAAAGAGGGGGATAGAGGACGGAAGAGAGAGACAGAACGGTGGTAGATGAAGCAGGGAGAGAGGGAGAAAGAGAGACGCCTGATAGACGATAGAGAGGGAGGAAGAGAGGGAGGGAGGGAGGGGCGGTAGACTGAGGGTAGACTCCACAGAAGTGCTGACAAACTGCGCGCTCCTCAGTTCAAACGCGTGTCAGCACTTCAAAGTCTCTCCCAGCCCGAGTCCTGGGACGAGAGGCAGCCTCTGGCACCGGGCTGAATGCAGAAGAGTATAAGGGGGAATTATTAGAGGTGAACCAGGGAAAAGAACAAGGACTTTTCACACTTTCATACAATAAATAGTCATTGTTTATAGTCACTGGGTATGTGGATTTGTAGTAAAAGTTCAGTAACTCACAGATATCTTTGCTATCTACTATCTTTCTATCTTTACATCACAAACTAGGAAGACGTTTGGAAAGATGCGTTTACAACTTCCGGTGTAGTTCCCGACACTGGGCTTGCGGCCGGAATAATCTTGAATTTGGCGGCTTCATCTCTTCAAATCGCATGTACCCAGTGCGCTCGGAGTTGTGTGTCAGTGGGAAAATGATGAAAACTGAGGTGTGGATGTAATTGTTGATTAGAAGAACGGAACAGAACGCTGCAATGACTTGGAGATGAAGAAAACTGGGCCATTTTCTCATTTTCCCAGATTTTGTCAGACTTAGTACTGTGAACAGAGCCCGCCCCTGTAGTTGTCATTGCATGTTTCCAAAAGTCTTCCTGGTTTGTGACGTAAGCGTGAATAGAGCCTACACTGCTGTTGTCTCAGGAAGTCGTCAAAACTACCCAAATCCAACTATTTTAAAGTGGAACTAAAAAAAAAGTGAGTGCTGCCTCCACTGACTTCTGCAGTTTCAAGTAGTTGGTGACATTACACAAGACTGCTCGAATTGCAGCCAGGTGTTTCTGATCACAAATACCTGGCTGCAGGGGCGGAGTTTGAAGTGTGGATTCTTGTTAGACCAATCACGCTGTTCCTTACTCCTGCAGACTCCGCCCCTCGTCCTCTCTCGCTCTCTTCTTTAGTCATCCAGGTACAGCCCAGTTTAGCAGCTCTATTTGCAATGTGGTTGTGTTTAGTCCCACTTTAAATTCATGACATTTTAAAGGTGCACTAAAAGTTGTTGTGAAGGGTCATCCATATGCTTGTCATACAGATGCTGTTGCTTTGGTTAACTATTTCAAAGTATGGCTTGAAATTTATGTTTTCTCCAGTTATATCATTTTTATTTCTTAAAAATACCTAGGAAAAACTTGCATTCTTACTGTGTGTGCGGGGTCGCCTCCACAGATCTGACCAGTAATTTGACCTTCTAGCTTCACCTGGTTTCCATGGACATTTTGTAACATACAGGAAAAGCAAAAATATCTTCATGACCCTCCACCAAAAAATTTAAATATTCAGTCATTTTGTCTCTATAAATTCATATTGGTTCTGTGCTGGGTAGCATTTTGTTACTGGTAGGGCATCTTATGTAAAACTGTGTAAAGAAATTAAAAAAAGAAGAAAGAAATCAAATTAAATTAACTAATAATAATATATAATAGCTTACAAAATATTTTCATATCAGGAAATCAGGATTTGTTTTTAAAGAAATTGCTGTATTAATTACACTTCCCTGTAGTTAATTATGCATTATCTATTTTATTTAATTTTTTAAGCTTTCTACCATGTTAAAAAGTGTTCTGAAGGGGGAGTGACTTAGCACAGAGAGCAAAAGGAGGGGTAACTCAGCATTAAAAATAAAAGTAAAAATTATGAAACATGTTAATACATTGTTTTTGGCAAATATAGCATTTTGAAAACAATAAAAAGTAAAATGGACATCCGAATATCCCGTCGTAGCAGTTAATACGCCATAGAAGTAAAATAGCCCCTTTTAAAAGCAAGAAATTGGCAGAGAAATATAAACTCAACCTTGAAAAAGTACCTCTAAACTGTCCAGACTCAGCTGTGTTTCGCCCCCTGCTGGTTATATTGGATCTTCTCCATAACCTTGACAAGGATTAAGAGGAAATCCCATCACGCAAAGTCCACATGTGTAGTTTATGGCCATGATTTCTTAAGGCTTTGGGTTAATTGGTGTTACACTGAACATATTTGAACTGTCATACCTCTGACCTCCACCAGGGCAGCGACGGTGAGGCAGGACCCAGAGGACAGCAGGGAATGTTTGGCCAGAAAGGAGACGAAGGACCGAGAGGTTTCCCTGGACTTCCTGGACCCATTGGACTGCAAGTAAGTTCAACAATGTACAGCTGTTCAGAAATGTTGTTTTATTTATCAGCGTTGTACTAAAAGATAAAATAGACCCTTCCAGGAGTGACGCTTTTAGAATTGTTGCACACACGGCATGGTACAGATATTATATGTGTGTATTTTTCAAACTGTAAGTCACACCAGCCAAAAAATGCGTAATGAAGAAGAAAAAAAAACATGGAGTTGCACCGTTTTGGGGGAAAATTTATTTTATGAAATCAGAGACCAGGAACTGACATTTTATCTTGAAAGGCAAGTTATAGTAAAAACAATAGAATAGAGAAGAACAGACTGTTAACCTCACATACGAACAATTTTTTAGATAACTATAGCATAAAAAACATAACATAACAAGTTTATCTTCATTCCAAATCACTAAATCCATTGACTTCTTCATCCTCAGTGTCACTTCTGACCAACTCCGCGACCTCTGGAGGTAAACAGAGCGCCGCTTCCTCTTCTGTGTAGCTGTCGTCAACTCAGCATCAGTTCCAGTTAGAATTATTCCGGCCTTTCTGAATCCCGACAGGATGATTTTAGTTGTCTTTATGTTTGTTTATGTTTTAACTCTTTCCCCCATGAAGACTATATTTGATGACCCTCCCTTGTTTTCTTAATGACGTGTTTTGACACCTCCGCTGTATCACTAAAGACGTGATTTGACGACCATTACAAATGGCTCGGTTTTTCACATGTAAACAGAGGCTGTGATAGGTGAGGGCCACTACAACCCATACATACTAATATATGTATGGGCTGTTCCAAGTAGGCGTCCAAGGGGGAAAGAGTTAAATTGTCAGTGATACAGAAGTAATGGTGCGATCGGCTGACATGATACAGACAGGACAGTGGCTCTTTCTCTTTATTCTGCAGCCGACATGTGCAGTAGAGAGAAGTGACAGTGGTACAGGAGCACGCAAGCCTAGAGCACCTCTCGCTGCTGTCAGTGTGAAAATTTTACCATATAAGAGTATAATTCGCAGGACCATCCAAACCATTAAAAATGTGCGACTTATAGTCCGAAAAATATGATATATTCCTTTAATTTCAATAGGACATCAAAATAAAAACATGCATTTTTACGTTTGGTCACAACCATCAATACCTAAATTTTATCTCTAGATTCTAAATTTCAGTAATATTTGCAGGATTTGTAGTAAATTTTACTCTCAAACTGTTGTGACCTGCTATCTTTTTGGTGCATAATTGTCAATCAAAAGTATAATTTAAAAAATGTTTATTAGCCTACATGGTTGTTAGTGTGCATGCAAATTTTTGGCGTTAATTGCTAAGGTTAATAATATGCATAAAGCAGTGCTACGCGTGGTTAGGTTTTCTAACGAGGCTCTGATGTTCCTCGGTGGTACAGCTTTGCCTTACAGCCTTGCAGTGAAAAAAACATTTACCCACCTCAACATCTGCTCATTTAAAATTCTTCTATAACTTTAATACATTTTAACTAACCGGAATAAAACCTGCCTAGTGAATAGCAGATGACTATAACCGCGATCGTTTTGGTGTGGTGCTAACTAAACCTCCTGTATCCCTTGTTCTTTTTAAGCTTAGTCATGCAGTCATTTCCATCTCCCGCAAACACATATGATTTATTAATGCAAGTTTAGCTCTTAACCACACTTTGTACAGCTTCAGGCAGTTGGCACTCTTCCCCAAAGGATTTTACCACACTGGGCTCAAAATATATCGCGTTTTTCTCATTTTTATATTCAGAACAGTTTATAATGTCATCTGGGCTCCTGTTTTCACCAATATTTCATTATTATGCAGTAAGCTACCGCCCTGCAGAGACCCACACCCTAAATCTACTGCTGTGTGGGCCCATTACATGAATTTTGAATACGCTTTCGACTGGATAAATACACTACGCTATGAGCACGACTTTGTAGCTATGGCTCTATTAATAAATTTGAATAAAGTTTTGCCATGATACAATGCAAACCCATTTTCAGTTCAGTATGTTATTTAAAATGTATGTTTGTATAGAGGCCGTTACTGGGTTTAAGATGATATCACAACATGGAGATCAGATTTGGCCCAAGATATAATTATATTTGGCCTGCGAGATCATCTCAAATATGTATTAGAGCTGGCCCGCCGGCTACAGATAGAGTCTACAGAGACAGTATTTATTTAAAATGTTGTTATTATCTAATATTATGCTTGTTCTAGATTCAGTGTTTAAGCAAAAACTATTATTAAACATTTTATTTAATAAGAAAAGGTTTAACATGACATATTTTGAAAGAAGAGAAAACATGCAGATGTTGTTAAAATTTTTCAATAAATATTTTGTTTGGCCCATGATTTAATCCCAGTTTTTAATTTTGGCCCTCTGTGAATTTGAGTTTGACACCCCTGATGTAGATTGATTGATTGATTGGTAACACGTTTTGAGTAACATTGTGATAATAAAACATTCTATAGACTGATAAAATTTAACACAAATGGGGGCAGCTAAAAATAAGATTGTTAAAATACAGATTTGAGTTCTTGTGTGTAGTCACTAATAAAAAAATTTTTATTAGGTTCAATATTTGTGTGTTTACTTTTTGGATATGTCATTGCAAAATACTGGCTCTTTTCCCCCATGTGGTAGTATGACATTATAACGTTCTAGGATCATGAAAACCTCTAAAGGGTTATTAAATATATAAATAAATATTCACACGCTATTAATTTTATTGTAATATTGTATTTGTATGTTACGTTTCTGTATTGTCTTTATACTAAACAAACATATTGGAGATACTGATATTGCTTCGTTTCATACTATTACAACATAAGCGTTAGACAATTTAATAAATACATTTCAATAAAGATTATGTTGTTACTGATAATCATGTAGAGGACCATTTTAAATATAGTACATCTCATATTCAACGTCCCATTTAATCTATGTTATAATGTTGTTTCATCATCAAAATCTTACCTGGAGTTGTGTTTTGTTTCATCCACACATGTTTAACACACAAACCCTTTAGGCAGTTCTTCTCACAAATGGAAATAAACTCTGATCCACCTTGTGATTTCATGTGGTATTACAGGAAGTGCTCTACTGTGTTTTTAAACTCCACACACCTTCACTAGAATCACTTGGATAATATCAGACCTAAAATTGCCAGTTTCAATTAACCAAAAGGTAAAAGGTGTTCACTACAGTTTCATGACATCACAAGGTGGAATAGAGTAATTTGTATGGAGTCAGAAAGCTTTCAGAAATATTCATGTGCATAGTTTAGTCCTGGTTCAGTCCATAAGCGACGCAAAAGTCCAGCATCTCAATCAATGTTTCTTCTGCTCAGTAAATAATGTCTGTGAAGTGATGGCGTATTTTTGACAGCAGAGTTGCACCTGTGAGTTCGTATTCATACTGAAGAAAGTTTTCGTGATTATAATTCTTGATGTCTTAACTTTCCAATTTGTATTCTGATGGATAAAATACACACAATAAAATACAATTTTGTTTACGACTGGACTCAATGGAGAGTTTAAGAATATTTATTTTATGCTCAGCCATATGTGTACAGCTTTTCCAAGTATGCACAGATTTCTATTCTATGCACACGGATATTTCTGAAAACTTTCTTACTCCATAAATTTGAGCTTTGGAGATAGACCGTAATAATGTAGCATTACTCAAACATAAATGAAACCAAACACAAATCTCTGGGTAAGTTTTTTGATGAAGTAACAACATTATAACGTGGATTAAAGCTCACAGGACTCCACGGCGAGATTATGAGGTTTGGAACATGGGGGTATCCAATGCTACTATATTTTACAAGCATTTACAATACAGATCAACACTAATTTAGATTTCTGTTGCTGCATACAAACATTACATTTTGTCTAGTCAAACTGCAGTACACAGCCAAATATCAAATTACAATTTCTGTTGCCAGATTTGTACCTTTCAATTGTTAAAACCAGTTCCCTCAGCCAGACTTTTGTGCTACGATTCTATAAACCAAGGATGTTGTTCAAATTCTGTGCCCGTGGTCAGAAATCACTAAAGCTACAGATAATTGCACTGAGGAGCTGAGCGCGCACAGCCTCTGCCATGTATTGAAGGACGGCTTAGCTAAACATAATTAAAAGACTCGAGATGGAGTGCATTATGGCCAATTAAAAGTCAATTCCACTTAATAACAATGTTATCTGGGTCTATTGACCAGCGGGGGGCATTCATTTCGTCCTCTCTCTCTTGGGGATAATTGACTAAAGATATCCTATAGTGGGGCAGGATTTCTGTATTCTCTGCCACCAAAGCAAGTTCCTCCTTCCCTTTTTCAGCTCAATAATGTAGAACAAAGATACACAAGTTGTACTGAATATCAACTCAATTGGGGCCTGTTTTAATATATGAGTAAAGGAATATAACAATTATATCTACTTAAATGTAATGGTATGCATACATTTTCTAAGTTAGTGCACATCTCTATGGCAATTTGCAACCAACAATTGACAATTTTATGTTTAAAAATAATTATGTATAATTATGTATATGTATAATTATGTACTGTGCTGCCAACAAGCTATAAAGAACAAAAAAAAATCTGGATTTGAAATTTGCACTTACAATGTAGCTCAAAAATGTATAAAAGTAGAAGTAATTTCCTGTACATTTCTGTTTTGACCAGGGTGACAAATTGTATTTATTACAATTTATTTAAATTACAAATGTTAATTATTAAGCAGCCGTATTGCAGAATGTATTGCTGTATTGTATTTATAATAAGAGTAAAGAATTAAAGCTACCACCGGTAAGTTTATTTTGATATTTTTCTACCTGTAGATGGTAGATGTGAAACCTGTTTCCTGTCCCCTCACCTGGCCTTTCTGCTCTTCTTCAGGCAGCAGTAACATAGATGCCATCTAGTGGTGATATATGATAATACAACAGAGGAAGGGCATAGGTTTGGTCTCAACTTTGGTGAGGACATTATCAGCTAATTATCAGTCCGGCTGCTAATAGTGCACGAGTAGGGCTCAGTTTGGGAGGTGCACTTGTGGCGAAAATGTTTTCAAAGTTTCGTGTGTAGCGTCTTCACTCACGCCTGCTCAAGCTGCCATCTTCGGGTGCTGGCTCTGTACTGCCGCTTCCCCAGTTTAGGCTCTTTGCACCACTAATGACATCGCTCTGTTGCAGCCAATGAAATAGCGGCAGGTGTAACCCTGTCGTCATATCACTGAATACATCTCAGTACATCTAATAAACAAAATAAAAAATTAATGCTACTGAGTTTGGAAAAATATCAGAATAAATTTATATTTGTGTTTATTAATTAATAAAATGGCAAATATTGGTAGGGACTATTTTGTCTTCCCCAAATATTGGTTGTGACACGTCCCCACCGTCCCTATGCAAACCTGCGCCGTTGCATCAGAGGTGAGTCAGCCAAACTAATCCACTGACTGTATAAAGAAGTGGACTAAGGTCGTGTGACATTGACCATAGTGTTCAGCTCCAGTCAAATGAAGCTCACTGAGGCTTGCGGTTACGCGGTGACTTTGGAGCCAAGTTCCATATTAGGAATAGGAGTTACGAACAAAATCGCAAAATAAAAACACCAGGATCACGTAGAGCATTTTAATACGACCAAAATGAAGAGCGAATTGGAACGCGCCAATGGTTAGGTTGCTTTATTCGTACCCGTAGGTAAATTTGTTTTGCAGATTTGAGAGACTGGTCCCACATTTCACTTTTCATTCATCCACATTATGAACAATAAACACATATTAAAAACACAAATACAAAATAAAGTGTTACAGTGCTCCGCTGCAGAATGGCTTTGTTCCATAGATTCTCCTATACAGTCCATATCTAATTACAATTGGTTGCTTTAATTTATCGTTATTATGCCAATTCACTATTTATCTTATCACTTATTATATTATCTTAAGTTTTTGTAGGCCTAGGTTGTATTGTGTATTGATTGGAAAAAACAGACTCACACATATTCACAAAAATCTTCCAACATCACTTACGGTTTTGTTTGTTTTTTATTATCTTTTGCTTCATAATGACACTTAGAACAACTTTTAATTGACAGCTCCAACATGTACAATGCATCAGTTCTAATTCCCATTCGTCATTGCGCCAGAAAACACCTTTATTTATTTCCCATTGTTGACGTATGCTTTATTACACCGACTAGAAAACCCCCATCATAATACAAATTAGCTTTCCGAGCTATTACCGCGCCGCATTAAATCACCTAACCAATCCAAAGGTGCATGTATGCCTTCACATTGACAAATACAAGTGTCATACGAGTTTACAGTGACTTATCATTACCGCTGCTTTCCGCCCATATTATGATTGAAACACCGTTAGCATCGCGCAAACATAACAAATCATATGTGTAATTTCACCCATACAATAGGCATTTGGGTGTAATTTCCCAGCCAGGTAAAAGTTGCACTGAATAGTATTTTCGTCAGGCATGATTGAACCTCCAAATAGTGTAATATGTGAGTGTTGTTCCCACTTTCACACACAGACGCAGATGGATGGGGCCCACACTATGTAATTTAACCAGGCTGATTATAGTCAAGCCTCCCATAGCCTTTAATTACAAAAGGTGTCCTTGTTGACTAATTGTGTGTTTACTTTCAGAGCTGTTGGGGTTATTAATGCGCACCAAAGCTCAATGTTCAACAAACATCATCCATAAGCGGTGTTAATGAGAAGCAGAAATGTATTTTTTGATCTTATTTTTACAATTCTGTGGTCTGTTGGGTTTAAATGTGGGCTTTCTTTTTTTTCTTTCTGTGCACAGGGTTTGCCGGGTCCTCCTGGTGAGAAGGGAGAGAACGGAGATGTCGGGTCAATGGTGAGTACGGATTACGTTGGGAAAGTTGGGGTTAGTTTGAGTATATATAAATATTTTTTTAATTACAATGATCCCCGTTTATCGTGGGGGTTACGTTCTAAAAATAACCCGCAACAGGTGAAATCTGCGAAGTAGTCAGCTTTATATTTTACAATTTTTATCTGTTTTAAGGCTGTAAAACCCCTCACCACACACTTTATACACTTTTCTCAGACAGGACAGCTCCTTTTTGCATCCTTCTTAAAACTTATTGCTGCTGTCATCCCTTTGTTATTTTCCTCTTTTATGTAACGAACCAAAGATTAATTTATTCCATAATGGCGCTAACAGCTGCGTAACTTGTATCTTCCTTCAGCATGTCCAGAACTTTTTGTGCAATGGTTAAAGCATCTTCCTCTGGCTTTTGGGTGCGACCGCAGGAGCCTTTGTCGGTGCAGAACGTTTCGTCGACATTTTGGGTTTTGTCAGGAAGAAAACTTCAGTATCACATTGCTAACGATCAAACATTATATAAATTTGTCAAGATGAACGCATTTTGTACTGTACAGGAGACATGGTACGGAGGAGAGTAATTGAGTTTACTGTCCCTTAGCCAATCAGGAGGCAGGGGGAGGAGCACAATGTGCATTCATACCCCTTTAAAAAAAAAAAAAAAAAAGCATGCAAAACTGCACTAATAATAATAATCCGTGAAACAGTAAGGCCGCGAAAGGTAAACCGCGTTATAGCGAAGGACGACTGTATACCTAACGAAAAAAAAATTGACAAAAAAAAGAAGAAACCATGGGGATGTAACAATAACCATAATATCATGATATCATTTCATCAAAAGTCTAATATCAAGGAGCATCACAATATATCAGATTACAAGTTTCTTTGCTTAAATGCATCGTTTTATAGTAGTAACAGCTTATAAACATTGGGAACTACATATCCCATGATTCATGTCAGCACAGACAAAATGAAGAAACATGTTTTTTACTTGAATTCTTGGGATTATGACAGTTATGACAGTAAGTAATTCACACCAAAATCTTGTCAAGGTATTTTAAAAACAAAAAAGTGTCTTATCTACAGTTATATTAGCCTCTTCAAAATTTCGCAATAAATGTCGTATCATGAGATGCATATCATGATAATATCGTATCGAGAGATTTGGATATCGTTACATCCCTAATAAACAGCCATAACTCACCCCTCTCTCCAAACTCATCACAAACACAAAACTACATAAAAAACACTCGGCAAACAAACTTAACAAACTTAATTAACTGTCAGTCATGTCCTCTCCTGTCAAGATGTCCAAAAAGATCAATCAGTATTTACGTGTTGTGTTGTTTTTTTTTTCTTTTTTGCTTCATAGTTTTCAAATCAGTAACTTGCAATGGCATTTCAATATGATGTTTGCAAGTCCTTTCCAAATTTGATGGATCTGTTTCTATTATGAATCCGTTTTAGATCAATATTGTGGTTTACAATGAACAAATGTAAAATCATGATCTAAGTATGTTATAGTTTAATTCAAGTATCATGTTATAAATACTGGATTGATGAGAAAATTTTAACAAACATGTGCAAGAGCTGACAAATTATTTTAAAGTCAGACTGTCGTTTTATTCAGGAATGAAAAATGAATCCCTCAAACTTGTAGAAAACACTTAATCTAGTCCTTAGCCCACACTTCTCCCAGTGCTGGATTATGGTGATATTGCATCCTAAATCTGCAGTAATAAAACCTCTGAGCTTTTCATTCAGCACGTCGGTTCTTGACTATGCTCTAAAGTATGTTCGCCATCTTATCTCTTTATATAAAGTCCAAAATATACATTGAAATTTTGAGGATTGCTTTTAGTTAATGAGAGTGTATTTTCTGTCACTATTTGTAAGCAGTGAAATTGAAATGCAATGAGCCAATGTGTGAGGATTAAGTTAAGGAAAATACAATTTACCTCCAGAAATTGTTGATAATGTTGCTATTCCCTACATAATAGCATAATGTGATTCAATATTTTCCTCATTGTTTTTTGTTTGTTTTTTAATGATGAAAATGAAGAGATTATATTTGAGTTGTTGCTTAGTTTTGACTGAACCTTGTATTTGTGCACAGGGTCGAGCTGGTCCCCCCGGTCCCAGAGGTCCTCAGGGTCCCAGCGGCGCCACTGTAAGTCACATGATCAGTTTGTCTTTTAGCTTTCACCTCCAGACTTCAACAAATCAACAATTCAACAAATGCATTCATATTTTTATGCTGTCAGCAGCACTCATAAACTCACTGTGTTTCCCTCACAGGGAGCCCAAGGCCCTCCTGGTGGTGTGGGTTCACCCGGAGCTGTTGGAGAAAAGGTAAACTTTAGTCTAGCACTTTTCTGGAAGAGCTTTTGTAAGTGTGTTAATTATAAAAACTAATAATTGAAAATACAGATATTGCACTAGTGTTGTGACTATACTGATCTGACTCCATATTTTCTCTGTTAAACCAAATAGAAAGATATCAGGTCTGCTTGTGTTCTTGTATTTGTCTAAAATTAATTATTGAATTATTAATGCAATTGTTTAGAAGTTTCCATATCTACAACAATCTAATTTTAATCATGATTATAAGTACTGTACTAAACACTCAAGTATTTATGCAGTATTAGTAAAACCTTTTGCCTCTTTTCATATGCAGTTACCTTTAAACATGTTTTCACAAATTATAACAAATAAATATTTTTGTCTTTAAATTAATATTACATAAAGCACATTACATACAACGTAATGTTTTATAAATTATTGTCATCTTAAAATCTATTTTTAAGCTTTTTGATTTGCCTCAGCAGTCAGTTTCTTCTTGTGTAAATTGCACATTGTTAAGATTCAATATTAACATGTCTATTGTGATTCTACAGGGAGAAACAGGAGAATCTGGCAACCCTGGTTCCCCTGGAGAGCCCGGTATTGGAGTAAGTACTGGTTCATTTTGTTCTGTGTGTAAACAGTGTAAATAGTATTTTGTATGCATCAGCTGTTACATGAATGAACACAGTGTGCCCCTGCAGCCTGTGCCTCATGTTTCTATGTGCAGTTATAATGGGGCTTTTAATTATCTGATCGTTATGACGCCACTGAAGCTGTGCTTTCTATGTTCCACAATAACACGATTATTGGTACAATCCGACTTAACCACGAGACATAAATATCCCAGATTAAATATGTATGCATTAATATGTATTCATTTGAGCTAAACTAGTCATAATGATGCTACCAATGCAAGGTTTTAGGGCAAGTTATTCATACCTCCATTTTAATTTAATAGTTTTCCCATATCTACAAGAAAAATTTAAACATAAGCATTTTAATCATATTTATTCTTATATTACTACAATGCAGGATCAGTTTATATTGATACTGCAGTGATGTCATGCTGGGGGGATAATTCACATTAACACACAAATTAGCAAACAGCCTTTCTTAATAGTCTGCAAACTCAATAAAAATACAAAATTTCAGGAGCCTGTAAACAATATAAGCGTACATGGTCCCTTTAGGTGTTCAACAAAAAGAGTGGGTGTGACTAAGTGAAAAACTGTGGGCTAAAGCTTGTAATCTTAAAATACTTCAGAGCTCAGATTGAAGTTTATCTTGAGTAACACAGCTTCAGACAGAGCAGAGCCTCTAGTTAGCTTCACGGCCCCAGGGAATGTTGATGGCATGAGCCGCAAAGTAATCAGTCAATAGTTGAGTGTTTAACCTGTGACTTTTGAGTTTTTGATGCTAGAATAGTGTCCCCTCATTAAAAACATACCTAGAGTTGTATTTCACATCATCTACGCTGTTTCACTAATCCTCTGTAGAAAGTATTTTGCCTCTGAGATTCACCAAACCCTCTGTCCGAATTTTCCCAGGATTGTGACGTCATAGATAGAAGCCATGTGCAGTTTTTAAGCCCATAAATCATGACAAACTACACTGGTGCTCTGAAATTATTATTTTTTTCTAAATCATGATGTTCCAAAGCAAATTACGCAATACCATGTTTAAAGGCCAAGAACGATACATATAATTTATAATATTTGTCCTTTAAAATATTAACTAAAACCTACATTGATCAGTTCTTGTTTTATTTCATTCACTGATGTTGTTTTAATATAGATTTTATGTCTGTCACTGTAGTCCATTTTAAAGTTGGTCTAAAGAGGCTCTCTGCTCCATTGGTCCGACTTACGATGCACAGTCTAATTATGTCCCCTGCTGACTCACGGCTCCTCCGCTTCCACCATCAGCACAGCTCAGATGATGGAGCAGTGATAGCACTATTTACTATAATGACAAACTCCAGTGTGGACTTAAAAGTGCTTTGAATCTAAGAGCATCCAGGACTCCATTTGTGCTCTGCTGGTCAACTATAGTAATGATCAGTATGTTTGTAAAAGGTATTTAGTTCTCAAACGTTTTAAAAGCCTTACATTATTCAAAATTGACTCTTGTGAGATTTAAGACATGTTAGAATGTTGTTAAAAATACCTTGAGTTATGTTTTGTTTTATTCACACATGTTTAACACACAAACTCTGCATATTTAACACCGAAATCTGCTCCACTTTGGCAGGAAGTGCTCCACTGGGTTTTTAACACCTTCACTACACAGCAACACTGAAGGGTTAAAATGTCAGGGTAAAATATTTCAGAGTGGTTTTTACCACAAAACATGTTTTTGTGTGTATTTTAACAATTTGAAAGTTATATGGGGGTTTGAGTTGGGGTTATTTACCAGAGTTGATATGGTTGAACTTAATTCAGCATCCTCTAGTGTTAATTCAATGTCCTCTAGTGTTAATTCAACTTCCTCTTGCATTAATTCACCTTCCTTTAGTGTTAATTCAACTTCCTCTAGTGTTAATTCAATGTCCTCTAGTGTTAATTCAATGTCCTCTAGTGTTAATTCAACTTCCAATTGTGTTAATTCAATGTCCTCTCGTGTTAATTCAACTTCCTCTTGCATTAATTCAACTTCCTTTAGTGTTAATTCAACTTCCTCTAGTGTTAATTCAATGTTCCCTAGTGTTAATTCAACTTCCAATTGTGTTAATTCAATGTCCTCTCGTGTTAATTCAACTTCCTCTTTGCCATTAATTCAACTTCAACTCCTTAGTGTTAATTCAATGTTCCCTAGTGTTAATTCAGCGACCCTTAGTGTTAATTCAACTTCCTCTAGTGTTAATTCAATGTCTTCTAGTGTTAATTTATCTTCCTCTAGTGTTAATTCATTCTCATTTAGTGTCAACTCAGCTTCCTCTAGTGTTAATTCAACTTCCTCTAGTGTTAATTCAACTTCCTCTAGTGTTAATTCAATGTCCTCTAGTGTTAATTCAACATTCTCTAGTGTTAATTCAACATTCTCTAGTGTTAATTCAACTTCCCTTAGTGTTAATTTGGCACCCCCATGCACCACTTCAAACTCCTGCGAGAGAAGACCAGTTTGAACCAGTTTTGTACATAATTTCATCTTAAATAAACTAAAATAAAGTGTAAAAATAAAACACCTCTGTGTGTTGTTTAGCTAAATCAGGATAACCCTACAAAGTGTTACCCATTCACTCTCAAAACGTTAATATAACTCTAGATTTTGGGGTTAAACAGGAACTTTGGTCCATTGTTACTTAATTAACATTTCCAAAATATTACATTAACTTTGGACTCATAAAAACTTATATAAACCCTGAGAAAATGTTAAAATTTATTCAGTGAGAGTCAATTTTGGCAGAAGAAAAGATAAAAGGTAGCGGTTAACTTGAAAGCTACCACTATATGACATCATAAGGTTTTGAGCTTGGGAAACAGTTTAATAATGCAGCATTAACCAAACGTGTGAATGAAACAAAACAAGTAAGTAAGTGTGCAGAATTCAGGAATTTATTAAAAATATGGAGGAGGATTTGTGGGTTACAACTAGATATTGTCAAGAGGTGCAAAATATTGAACTTTCAAGTTGGAAAAAAACGATTTCAGATTAAACATGCACAACTCCAGGTGTGTTTTTGACGAGGAAACAACACTGTAGCCAGGTTAAATGCTGTGTTCATGTGTTTTCCCTTTATAATCCTGTACTCTTCCTGTGGTTTGTCTCAGGGCTCTAAAGGAGAGATCGGAGAGAAGGGAGAGACCGGCCCTCCTGGAGCGGCCGGACCTGCAGGAGGACGAGGACCCCCTGGAGACGACGGCCCCAAAGGAAACCCTGTACGTCCAACAACACAGTACAACCAATTAGGGCTGTAGTTCTTTAGTTGTTGAGTCGATTAATCAGTCAATGGTGTCTTAGTCAACGAAAATTTGTATTCATTGAAAGAATCTTTTTTTTTTTTCATTTAGTTTTTAAATTTTTACACGGGACAACAACAGAAAGGAGAAGTTTGTGAGAGATTTGATATTTTGGGGTATTTTAATGTTTCGTCTTTCTTTAAATACATTGTACATACATTTTATAGCAGTGGTCCTCAAACGTTTTTGCTCCATGGACCGGTTTTATATCAGACAATATTTCGCGGACCGGAGGGGGCGTGGTGCGTGGTCCGGCGGCATGGGTAATTCCAGGCTAAATCCTGTTTTAGTCCAGTTTTAGTCCTGGTTTTAGACCTGTTTTAGACCTGTTTTAGACCTGTTTTAGACCTGTTTTAGTCCTGGTTTTAGACCTGTTTTAGTTCAGTTTTAGTCCTGGTTTTAGACCTGGTTTTAGACCTGTTTTAGTCCTGGTTTTAGACCTGTTTTAGACCTGGTTTTAGACCTGTTTTAATCCTGGTTTTAGACATGTTTTAGACCTGTTTTAGATCCTCTTTTAGACTTGTTTTTAGACCTGGATTAGTCATGGGTTAGACCTGTTTTAGTCCTGGTATTAGTCCTGGTTTTAGACCTGTTTTAGACCTGTTTTAATCCTGGTTTTAGACCTGTTTTAGACCTGTTTTAGTCCTGGTTTTAGACCTGTTTTAGACCTGTTTTAATCCTGGTTTTAGACCTGTTTTAGACCTGGTTTTAGACCTGTTTTAATCCTGGTTTTACACCTGTTTTAGTCCTGTTTTAGACCTGTTTTAGTCCTGGTTTTAGACCTGTTTTAGTTCAGTTTTAGTTCTGGTTTTAGACCTTGTTTTAGACCTGTTTTAATCCTGGTTTTAGACCTGTTTTAGACCTGGTTTTAGACCTGTTTTAATCCTGGTTTTATACATGTTTTAGACCTGTTTTAGATCCTCTTTTAGACTTGTTTTTAGACCTGGAATAGTCATGGGTTAGACCTGGTTTAGTTCTGGTTTAGTTCGGGTTTGACGTACAGGAGGAGGGACGGTCCGTGGTCCGGTTCGGTACCAAAAGACCAATGGCCACGGGTTTGGGGACCACTGCTCTATAGCACTACTGTACACTGCTGTAGTTAGACTATGCACTGCACAATAACAATGTCTAAAATACCTCAGTTTGTGTCGTTTCCAATAGGTAAGATTAATTTTGTCATGTGGGATGTAGTGAAATGGAGCAAAGGATTATGGTCTATGTAGTTCCCTTTGCTTCTTTACTATGCCACTGCTACAAACCAATGCGTTTTAGAGCCAGGAGATTGTAATTCTACTCTCCATGATAATTTTATGAGATTTTTTACTCTGCAATATCTCCAGTGTTGTATCATCCTTTATGTCTTCCTGAGGCACTGTTGATACTAAACCACTCTCCTCTTCTCTCTGTCCCTCCTACTCTTTCTCTCATTTCGCTTTTTCCCTCCCTTTCTATTTACTTATCGCTCTATATCTCCCCGTCCATCTATCTCTTCCCTGCTCTCTCACTGCATCCGTCCCTCTCATTTTCCATCTCTCTTTTTCTCCTGCTACCTCCCTCTCTCTCTGTCTTCATTTTCTCCTTCCTTCTGTCTCATTCTCTGTTTCTCTTTCTCCCCTTTTCTTTTCTCTCTTGTTCTGTCTCTGTTCTTTTCTACCCCCCCTCTCTCTCGCTCTCTCTCGCTCTCTCTCTATCTCTATTCTGCCCCTCTCTCTCCCTCTCTCTCTCTCTATTTCTTTTTCTCCCCCTTTCTTTTCTCTCTTTCTCTCCTATTCTCTCTCTGCTCTCTGTCTCTATTCTCTCCTTCCTTCCCTCTCTCCCTCTCTGTCTTTATTCTATCCTTCCCTCTCTCTGTCTTTATTCTCTCCTTCCCTCTCTTTCTCTCTCTGTCTCTGTTCCCTCCTTCTCTTTGTCTCTCTCTCTCTCCCTCTCTTTGCATCTACTCTCTCCTTCCCTCTCTCTTGCTCTCCTCTCTCTGTCTTTATTCTCTCTTTCCCCTCTCTTCCCTCTCTCTCTCTCTCCTCTCTTCCTCTCCTCTCTCTCTCTCTTCTCCCTCCCTCTCTCTCCCTCTCTTTCTCTCTCTCTTCTCTCCTTCTTCCCTCTATCCTCCTTGTCCCTCCCTCCGTCTGTCTCCTTCTTTTCTCTCCTTGTTCCCTATCTCCTCTATCTTCCTTCTTCTACCTTCCCTCTCTCTGTCTCTTCCTCTCTCTCCCTCCTCTCTTCTCTCCCTCTCTCTTGATCTCTCTCTCTCTCTTCTTCTCAGGGCCCAGTTGGATTCCCTGGAGACCCTGGTCCCCCTGGTGAGCCCGGCGTTGCTGTAAGTGCTGCACTCATCCCTCCGAAACTCAAGCTGTGAACGACTGTCACCTTCTTCTGTTTGTAATGACTTGATTATAATGTCAAGAGAATTTACATAGGCTAAATATTTATTCGTACGTCTTTATGTTAAATAGCTATTATTATATCAAGTACACGGCCTATATAATGCGTGATACCAAACAGGAGTAAAGACTCAACCGTAGAATTTAAATATATTGAGTTTATTTTGGTTTTATTATTTAAATTACAGTGTTTTATATTATCATTTGTTATGGCAATCATTCAAAATTTCCATCACTTGAAATCCATAAATTATTGTTAAAACCATAATACAATAATAGATTTGACGTCCATTTTATAGATTTGCTTTGCTTTTGAATTTTTGATTCGTTTGCTGGAAGTATTCCCTTTATTCCCGAAGTTGCCGTTTGCGCTGCTTTCATCATTTGGATTGTATTATTTTGCATGAGGCAGCAAATAAGTTCTATATGGCTTATGAAACTGTTTTAAAACCTCCCCGAGAACTCCTGCAGTGTTGACTTGTTGGTCCACATGAGCACTGAACATTCTGCACAAATCAGCTTATTTTATATCATATTTTAGCTGCAAAACTTTTCACAAATTCTGAAAATGGGATTCCCACTTAAATGGAAGTTGCCACCACAAAGAAAAGCAAAGTTTAATAACCAAATTGGGCCTGATGGAATAAGGTCAATAGGAGAATAAGTTCAACCTAGATTGTGTTTAGTAAACTATAACACTGTCATACAATGCTAAATGTGTTGATTTAAAAAAAAATAAACAGTATATTTTAACAGTCCACTTCATACTCTTGCAAATTTGTTTTTTAGGGTCTTGATGGTCTGCCCGGTGACAAGGGAGATGATGGAGAAGCTGGTCAGCCTGTAAGTTTTGGTTTACATTTTGTCCTGGTTTAGTCCTAGTCTAACACAGGTACACTTTCAAGTTTAGGCTATTTATTATTTGGTCAGTTTTAGTCCTGATGTGATCTTAGTTTTGTCCTGTTCTAGTCCTTGTTTAATTCTGATCAGAGCTCGGTAGAGTAAAAACTTGTACTCAAGTAAGAATAACATGACTTAAAAATAATATTTCTCATGTAAAAGTACAAAGTAGTGTTCCAAGAAATTACTCGAGTAACAGTTAAAAGCATTTGGGAAACTACTACTCAAGTAAATAACTGCTGGGACGTAACTTCTGATTTATAATTTGAAGTTAATGTCATTGGAAGGACAAAACATAAAATAAATAATGCACAAAATCTGGTATTTCCAAAGTATAAACATAAAAATGAGAAGGAGCGGTGCAAGAATGACAAATCTTCAAATCATTGCACATTGTCTACATAAAGCTTTTGTCACTTGTACTTGTTACTTCAATGAAAATATTATTGTTGCTCGTCAAGTGCTCTGAAAACTGCAATTCATTTAAAAGCTTACTCAAGTAAATGTAACTGAGCACTACCCATCTCTGATCCTGATTTAGTCCAGGTTTACATACAGGTTTAGTTCTATTTAAGTCCCAGTTCTGAAGTGGTGTATGGACGCAGTATCCATCTTGTTAATTCCAAACTTCATAATGTTTCATTTTGCCATTCCCTGCTCTGCACATTTGAATAAAACAGATTTAAGTGGCTTTTGTCCTGTTTTTAGGGTCCTCCTGGTCCATCTGGTGAAGCTGGAGTACCGGGACCTCCTGGCAAACGGGTGAGTACGGCTCCACTAGAGACACTTCATTATGAGAGCAGAGTGCAGATGATTTCACACCGCATTTTTAGTGCATGATCACTTTATTTTGAAGAGTCAGTCAACAGGGCTAGAGTCTATTTTTCAGTCTATTTAATATTTGATATGGTCAAAGATGCCTCCTACTATTACTACTACAAGTAATAGTGTTTTTAATGTACACTGACAATACTGCTTTTTTTACTTTTTGAACATGATTCTTTTGTTTTGAAGGACCAGTCATGTGCATATATGTGCAGTATATTATATATTTTAAGTGTATTTTGTGAGATATAAGTAGTAGAAGCACATTGTAACTGCACTGGAAATGTGACAAATCTAACCATTACTCAACTATCTGAATATATTTAGATCTACTTATTACAGCATTACTTAACATAAAGTAGCAGGGCACTTTCTTATGCTATCTTTTATTGATACTTCTTAAACTACCTCTAATATTTATATTCCTACCACCAAACCTAGACCCCAATTCTCAACTGTCTTTCCAGGCTTTTATTAAAACTACATGTTTAACTAGAATAAAAATATACCTCGGATAAAATACTTATGAGATTAAATAAAATACAGCCTTAGTAGAACTACACAATCAACCTGCGAGATTTTATGATATATGCATATATAACCTTATTTACAGACTCAGGGTCCAGACCGTACACAGAAGGACACACACCCACAATACACTACATTCATATATGAAGCCACCAGCACACACACACACATACATAAAAAAACTACAGTAATGTAAGGTCCGGTAGAATTAAAATACATATAGCTGGCTCTAATATTGGGTGTCACTTTCCTTAATATCAGTCAAGCACGTATTATTCCATTCCTTGATTCATTTAACCTGCACATAAATTTGTACATGAGGTTCCTCATTTGAGCCTGGAACGAGGGAATATTTGTGACCACAAACAAAGCACTAGCACTTTCCCACCTTGCAGTCTTTATACTTTATACTCTTAATTAAATTAGACAGTGCCTAAAATATGTGCAATACAGTGAGTCTTACTTTTATTCACACTACAACTACTACTGCTGCTACTACTACTACTATTACAACTACAATTACTGTATCTACTATCACCACTGTTATTCATCGGAGCCTTCTTTACTATGGAGCTAAAATGCCAATTAAACAGATAGTATTGCTCTATGATAGCTAATTTCCACTACACTTAGGCTGCGTTCAGACTGCAGCCTGAAGTGACCCAAATCAGATTTTTTGGCTTCTATGTGACCTGTATCTGATCTTTTAATGATAGTCTGAACGACACAGATCCGATTTTTTCAAATGCGACCCAGGCCACTTGGATATGTGGTCCTGAAACCGATACATATCCGATCTTTTGACATGCGACTTCAGTCTGAACGGCCAAAGCGCATTCATTCGACCTGCACGTTATCAACAAGCCACAAACGTCACTATTCTGCGCTGAAGTAGGCGAAAATTGTTAATGAACTCTGTGTCACTGAAGCTAAGCACATCGCCACTCACCACTCTTGGCTACGTCTCCGCATCCACACGTTCCTTTCAACGGACGTCGGTGCCACTGCCCCACAAAACGCCACGGCCAAAAACCTCGTCCTTCTCCTTTTCAATCTCCTCAAAACAAGTAAGTTGTTCATGTTCTGGCTCCGGTACGAGAGGAACTTTAAAATCTCCAGGTGCTCAATGCTCGTGTCCATGTTTGGACAACTTCAGTAAACACAGAGCACGTTCGCTGCGGTTGACGTCATCGTGTCCTCCAGTGCATGCGGGACACTTTCGGGCCGTTTAACGTTCACACAGGGGATCGCATACAAGTCGCATTTAATTGGAAATGTGAACGACCTCGCAAAAACATCGGATTTCACAAAAATTCGGAACTGAGCGTTAAGCCCTGCAGTCTGAACGTAGCCTTATATGAGTTTTATTTTGAAGGGCCAGGCCAGTGTAGAACATTTGAGCCTATTATTCTGGTCCATTTAACTGCATATATGACAAAGAGCAAGCAGGAGCCCTTCCTGTGACCTTCATCGATGTGGTGAGGGTTTGACTGACAGGAAAAAGACCATTGATAATCTCACTGAAATTATGTTGTCACTTAGAGCTCCGTATGGCCTTTCTGACCCACCAGGATCACACTGCCTTTACTGTACATGAAATAACTGCAATTGTACTCTGTATGTACTTTATTGATCATATTAGATTACATTGTAGGTAGTTCACATAAGGAGCCGTGCATGGGCTTCAGAATGATCAAAAATAGGAATGGTGTGCATATTATGACCACACTTCAGTTTTGTTACTTATTTAGTGGAAGGAAACGTTTATGCAATACATTTCATTTTTTCACTGTTTTGTACATCTGATTGACTTAAGAATGCTTTGAATGTGATTTTTTTTTTTAGAGGTTTTACATATAATAGAAATGCGCTTGTTTTTTGTTTCATTTTTTACCACCGCTGGGCTGCATACCCTTTCTCAACCATTCACCAAATTTCATCAAGTTTTTCTATTCTTCTTGATAAAGTGTGACCTGCTTTGCCACAGACATGCAGGTTTTGGTTTGAAATGAGAATCACATGAATCCAAGGTAAAAAATGGCTTTGCTCTGCTCGTACTGTGCTGATAAATCATTGAACAGTGTCATTTCCATGTCCCCCACATAAAACTACATCTCCACAAATTCACATTCAGCCATGGACTCTTGATTATACAAAAAAATATAAAAAAATACTTTGAACCGTAAGCACTTTCAGCTCGTGTTTTTGTATTCTGTTGGATATTCTGGTGACATGAGCTACAAAACAAATATACGCCCACTACAAAGCATAACAGAGCAGAGTTACTAATGCTGTTCTGAATTCTCTATCACACTCATCAGCTACTTAAAGTGCTTAATTACACCAGTACTGTACAGTGACAGTACTCTGGGGGGTGTATCTTATGTATGTTTGTGGCGGAATGTTCAGCTGTTTCCATGGTGACACAGTGCACACATTGGCAAACACAAATCCTAGTCTCAAAACTCAAGAAAAAATACAAAATGGATGAATGGACCACAAGCGTTCATGGTCCCGTTTATTTGACTCACTGAAAAAAAAACTGTTGGATAATGCAAGTACTGTATTTTTCGGATCATAAGTCGCTGCGGAGTATAAGTCGCATCAGCCAAAAAATGCGTAATGAAGAAGAAAAAACATATATAAGTTGCACCGGACTATAAGTCGCACTTTTTTGGGGAAATTTATTTTATAAAATCAGAGACAAGGAACCGACATTTCATCTTAAAAGGCAATTTATAGTAATAATAATAAAACAGAGAACAACAGACTGTTAACGTCACATATTAAAGAGTTATTCAGATAACTATAGCATAAAAAAACATAACATTTTACCAAACTCTCCATCGCACTCCAGATCACTAAATCCATTAAATTCTTCATCCTCGGTGTCACTTCTGAGCAACTCCGCAACCTCAGGAGGTAAACAGAGCGCCACTTCCTCTTCTGTGTAGCTGTCATCAGACTCAGCATCAGTTCCAGTTAGAATTATTCCGGCCTTTCTGAATCCCGACAGCATGGTTTCAGTTGTCTTTATGTTTGTTAAAATTTTAAATTGTTAGTGATACAAAAGTAATGGTGCAATTGACTTTCATGATCCCAGACAGGACAGAGGCTCTTTCTTGCAGGAGACATGCGCAGTAGAGTGAAGTGACAGTGGTACAGGAGTAATAGCAGTAGCAGATACTGACACACAAGCCTAGAGCCTCTTGCACCTGTCAGTATGAAAAGAGTATAAGTCGCAGGACCATCCAAACCATGAAAAAAGTGCGACTTATAGTCTGAAAAATACGGTAATCCATTCTTTACGATCAGACTGTGTTAAAACAAAGCTCAGATTAAAGTCTAACTTGAGTAACAGCACTTCAGACAAAGCAGTGCAGTTGCCTTTTCCTTTTTTTATTACATTTTTTATGATAAAACCATTACCTAATAACTTAATTGCTCTGATATTCAACAGTCAGCAACTATATACTGCTGTATTCTGCAGACAAATTCATATTACGTATTTAGTTCTTCTAGAGCTATTTTTCATCCAATCCAATAAAATTATTGAGTAGTTAATGCACTTTTGAAATCAGGTATTTTTTCACCCTGTACCAACCGCACTCATTCTCACTCAATACCTTTTATAGTAATTGACTGAATAGTGCATAAAAAGTGATTGCAGACACATCCTCACGAGTTGACCGTGGCACGTGCCCGTATAGAAGCCCTATTGAAAAGCCCCGTCTTTGTTTGCTCTGCTGGCCCATGTTTTTCTATAATGGTTAATGACAATCCACTCACAGGCTCTGACCAGAGGCAGAGTGGAGCTGGGAGAGGCTTTTAGCTCACGATATATGGGACAGTCCATCCACTGCCAGCATGAGCACTGGACCACTAGACCACTGTAGTACTGTAGTAATGTAGTACTCTGTAGTACAAGGTCAAAAGGGCAGGGACCACAGTTAGCTTTGTGTTTGTTTAATTGGTATTTTATTACCATAATAAAGAAGACTCAGAATAGCAGTGGTGATAATAGTAGTAGTAGTAGTAGTAGTTGTTGTTGTAGTAGCAGTAGTAGTAGTAGCAGTACTAGTCATTGTAGTTGCAGTAGTTGTAGTACTAGTCATTCTAGTAGTAGTAGTAGTTGTAGTCATTGTAATAGTTGTAATAATAATTGTATTTTGTAATAGTAGTAAGAGTAGTAGTAGTCATTGTAGTAGTAGTAGTAGTAGTAGTAGTAGTAGTAGTAGTTGTAGTAGTATTAGTATTAGTAATAGTAGTCTTTGTAATAGTTGTAATAGTACTAGTATTTTGTAATAGTAGTAGTAGTTGTCATTGTAGTAGTAGTAGAACTAGTATTTGTAGTAGTAGTAGCAGCAGTAGTAGTAGCAGTAGTAGTAGTAGTAGTAGAAGTAGAAGTAGTACTAGTCATTGTAGTTGTAGCAGTAGTAGTCATTGTAATAGTTTTGGTAATAGTATTGTAATAGTTGAAGAAGAAGTAGTTATAGTTGTAGTAGTTAGATGAATACTAATATCAAACTTTATTGTCCACTAGCAATAGTCGTAGTAGTAGTAGTAGTAGTAGTAGTAGTTGTTGTTGTTGTTGTTGTTGTAGTTGATTTTTGTATTGATTAATTGTTAACTTTGCAGTAATGTGGATGAGAGCTTATCCCTCAACTTGAGTATTATCCTGACATACTCTCATATCACTACTACTACTACTACTACTACTACTACTACTACTACTACTACTACTACTACTACTACTACTACTACTACTACTACTATTACTACTACTGTGCTGTACACGTTGCATTTGCAGGATTCCAGCACTACCTCTAAATGTACTGTATATATGTTTTTCATTACATTAAATTATGAAGATATGCAGTTACTTTACACAAACCAGATGCATGTGAATGTATATAAAAGTCTTAATTCTCCCTCTGACCTTTCGGTGACATATTATGTAAAGGGGCTCTTGACATTCACACACTGTTAATAATCCCTGTGGTATTTCTGTGCCAACTGAAGAGGCTAACTTCATATTTTGTTTGGTTTTTGACAGGGACCCGCCGGAAAAGCCGGTCCGGAGGGCAGACAAGGAGAGAAAGGAGCCAAGGTAAGACACATCAGTTTAGCTGCTGATCTGTGGAGGGGGCTGGAGGTAAAACCAGGCTAATGCAATCACAGAGGCCTTCAACCAGTCCCAATGAAATGATGAACGACCCACAGACCCTATAGCTTCTGAGTGATCTACTGCTCTGCATGGATTTGAGAACAAAGTAGGTGTTGGCCCAGTATATTTAGTGGTAAAAGTGAATTGAACTTAGGTAGAAAACTTTGGTAAAAATATCTGAGAGCTTGAAGTTAATGTTGTTTTGATACAGTATATGAACATTATGCTTTCAGTGGAGAAATCATGAGGTCAGCGAGTGAAATTATTTTAGCAAAAAGTACAAAACATAAATAGATTTTTGTTAAAAATGCCTTACCTCAAAAATACCTCACACTTGCACAATCACCACACTAAACTTTAATTAATCCATGAACTAAAGATGGACTAAACTAGGACAACTAGACCAAAACAAATTTACATGTGAACTCAAACTGGGCCCAAAACAGTCCAAGTGTGAACATACCCCAAGTATATTTGATTTGATATTATTATATTTGATAGATAAGCCAATTGAACTACATGTATCCGTGACTATTCTGTGATTGAACCAGGACTAAAACAGGACTAAACCAGGTCTAAACCAGGACTAAACCAGGACTGAACCAGGTCTAAACCAGGACTGAACCAGGACTGGACCAGGTCTAAACCAGGACTAAACCAGGACTGGACCAGGTCTAAACCAGGACTGAACCAGGACTGGACCAGGTCTAAACCAGGACTAAACCAGGAGGTCCCAGTCTGGTTCGTTTCCGGTCCCGGTCTGAACTCGGTCTGGTCCTGGTCTGGTCCTGGTCTCAGTCCTGGTCTTGGTCCTGGTCTCAGTCCAGGTCTCAGTCCCGGTCTGGTCCGGTTCTGGTCTCGGTCTCAGTCCTGATCACCGGACAGTGTGCACCCTCCCAACACTCAGTCCTGGTTCAGTCCTGGTTTAGACCTGGTTTAGTCCTGGTTTAGTCCTGGTTTAGTCCTGGTTTAGACCTGGTTTAGACCTGGTTTAGTCCTGTCTTAGTCCTGGTTTAGTCCTGGTTCAGTCCCGGTTCAGTCAATATGTGGTGCAAAAGTTCTGCAGTTTAAATCACAGAAACAGGAAACTACCATCATCTGTTTTTTCATTTTGGTTTTGGAAACATTAATGAAGAAAATAATTGTTTTGTCTTATTTTTATGAATGAATTATACACAGATTATTAAACTACATCTCATAAGAATATATGATACTAGCTAAAGAAACTGATAAATATTGAGCTAGTTGCTACACACTGACATTAAAAACATGTAGCTGGTTTAATTCAAATGCCAAATTCACCTTTTTTTGCTGCACAGTTTGGTGTTTTTGTTATTCCACTTTGTATAAGGTCAATATAGAGTGTAAAAAAAACAGTATTTATTATTTAATTATCATAACTTTGCCCCCCAAAAAAGTCAATGAGCATATATTGTATTGTATTAATTGATTAATCTGATACTATTACTAATAAAGTGATATTCATCAAAAGTCTCACAATAATACCGTGGGGCCTCACAATGTATCAGATTACAAGTTCCTTTCCTTAAATGCAATTTTTTATAGTAGCATTAGCTAATAAACATCAGGAACTACATATCCCATGATTCATTTCAGTGCAAACAACATGAAGAAAGATGTTTTTTACCTTAATTCTTGGGATTATGACAGTAAAAATGCACACCAAAATCTTGTCAAGGTATTTTAAAAGCAAAAAAGTGTCCTCTCTACAATTATATCAGCCTCTCCAAAATATCGTTATAATATTATACTGTGAGATTTGTATATCGTTACATCCCTCCATACTATATTTGAAGCTTTGAACACGTCTTTTAAGTGTATTTTCAGCACAGAGAGGCAAAGGATTATATGTGAAGGATTGGTGACGGCCCTTTCTCTTGTCAAATCCAGGTCTAATTGGTTGTCAGAACAATGTAATCCTCCTCATCCTTCAATTTACACAAAATGACACCCGGCAACAACAAAAGTGTATGGTGCCTGTCACTCAACACAAGAGAGACGTTGTAGTGCAAGGAGAAAATGGGAAACGGATGGATTTTTCTTTTAAAGGTCCTATATTACACGAAAATGGATTCTTGTGAGCGTTAAGGCATGTTACAATGATGTTTTCTGTTTGAGAGAATAACCCAGCGTAAATAAATATGCAGGGTTTGTGCGTTAAAAATGTGCAAATTAAACAAACTTCAGGTATATTTTTGATGAGGAAGCAACATTATAACATAGATCAGAAAATGGTGTAATATAGACCTTTAAAAGCTTCATAAGTATTGCCAAGAAGAAACATTTTCAGGGTTTATTTTTAGATATTTCAGTTCTGGTGCCATGCATGGGTAATGAAAAGATTGCACTATATATCGTTTGAATGGCTTTTTTCCATAAACTAATGGAAGGTTAAGTTCTTTACAGATCTTGCCAAACCTGCTTTTTAACATAATTATAAGATTTAACTTTTGCCCAGAAAAATGTGGTCAGAATAAACCAAATCTGATACTGCTTTGAACGTTTTGAAACCTATTTTTTGCATATTGTTTCACTTATTAAACTGCTCGTCATTGTTCGCAGGGAGAGGCTGGAGCAGAGGGCGCTGTGGGTAAAACTGGACCCGTGGGACCTCAGGGACCTCCTGGGAAAACCGGTGCCTGAGGGTCTGAGAGGCATCCCAGGACCTGTGGTGAGTGGGCAGCGAAAAATCAAGACATTTTAGATTATAAAGGTGTCTAAAATCAGATATACAGTATTTTTTGGACTATAAGTCACTCCAGAGTATAAGTCGCACCATCCAAAAAATGTGTAATGAAGAAAAAAAAACACGTATAAGTCGCACTTTTTGAGGGAAATTTATTTTATAAAATCAGAGACCAGGAACTGACATTTCATGTTGAAAGGCAAGTTATAGTAATGACAACAGAACAGAGAATAACAGGCTGTTAATGTTACATATGAACAGTTATTCAGAGAACTATAGCATCAACAACAGAACAAGTTTACCAAACTCTCCATCTCACTTCAAATCACTAAATCCACTGAATTCTTCATCCTCGGTGTCACTTCGTCACTTCTCTACAACAACTCCGCGACCTCCAGAGGTAAACGGAATGCTGCTTCCTCTTCTGCATAGCTGTCGTCAGACTCAGCATCAGAGTTAGAATTATTCCGGCCTTTCTGAATCCTGACAGGATGGTTTTGGTTGTCTTTATGTTAAGTTTTCAGTGGTACAGAAGTAATGGTGCGATCGACTGACATGATAAGGACAGGACAGAGGCTCTTTCTCTTTCTTCTGCAGGAGACATGCGCAGTAGAGTGTGAAGTGACAGTGGTACAAGAGTAATAGTAGTAGCAAATACTGGCACGCAACCCTAGAGCGCCCTTTCACGTCTGTCAGTGTGAAAATTTTAACATATAATAAGTCGCACTGGAGTATAAATCGCAGGACCACCCAAACCATGAAAAAAAATGCGACTTATAGCCCGAAAAATAAGGTACTGAATTTTCTCATTGTTCCTTTGAATTGGCAAGGTTTAATTTTATAAATAAGGAGGAGAAATATTAGTAGTGTTATTTTAGACTGTATAGAAGTGGACTGAGGGAGTGTGACGTCTCCCGTAACGTTGCAGCCAAATGAAGCCAATCGAGGATATTGCAGCTAATCTACAACTAGGGACCTTATTTAGAATTCCCAGTTTGTGTATCATAGCAACCAAAGAGCCAATCAAGAGCGAGATTATTGAAGGTTCTCATCTATACAACTTTTCTGGTGTTTGTACAGTGGAGATGTGATTGCTTTTGCCTAGAATGTTCCAGTGTGGTATTATGTTGGTGTCATCTGTTTGTCTCCTCGGAGATTGACGTGTTTAATGCCGTTCTGTGGGACATTCCATTCCAGGAAAAGCAGTAACAGCTGCATAGTGTACTGACTGGATGGGTGTTAAAGTTAGGCAGATGCTTTCCTTTTTTAGCCAAAATCCAATGGAGAAAACGATTATATATTTATGCACTGTCTCTTTTGAATTGTGTTATGAATATTGAATGATAACTGTATTTTGCTTTTATTTCTAGGGTGAACAGGGACTACCTGGTGCTGCCGGTCAAGACGGACCCCCCGGACCTATCGTAAGACACTTTATTAATTATGCATTCATCATTTTCAGTTGTTTACATGTTCAAAAGCCCATTATTTTAACCCCATACTGCTTTTAAAGTGAAATATTGCGATTTCCAGTGGAGTTCCGCCCGAAGCGATTGTTGCGGTCTCCCAGCGTGACACCAAATGAACTGACACTTTGAATGCAGAGCTGCGCGACGGCTGTCACTTCGAAATCGCTCCATTTATTTCTCTGTCACTTAGTGGAATCCTCTGCTCCACAGGGCCCTCCTGGACTTCCCGGGATGAAGGGTGACTCGGGATTCAAGGGAGAGAAGGCAAGTCGACGTTATTACGATGTTAATCTCAAATTGCTTTATTGTGTATTTCTCATATCTGCGGGTGCGTCTTATCTGCTCCTCTGAGTAAGCAAACATCTCCAGACCCTGTGTCTTTGTTCACTCTCTCCAAGTGCAAAACTCAAACTTTCACTCAAGGAAAGTTTGCGATCAACTTGACACGTACGATCAAATAGAGTGCCACAAATATATATACCTTATCCATGTTTGTATAGAGGTGGGAAGCTACATTTACTTGAGTAACTTTTTAAAGATATTTTGCTTTACAGAGTACTTTTCTATTGGCATATTTTTACTCCTACTCAATTAATATTTTTATTAAGTAACAGTACTCTTACTTGAGTAAAAGCTTTGATGATTTTCCTCTGTGAATAAGTCTAGAAGTGACAAAACTTTATGTTGACAATATGAAATTATTCGAACATTTGTGTTTTTTGGTCTATCCTGTAAAAATATCAAAATTTACGGGATTATTTAATGTTTTTTCCTTCAAATTATACTAACTTAAAATTATAAATCAGATGTTATGCCCCAACATTTACTCTTTAACCTACTCTAGTTTTCTGAAATACTTTTTTTACTCTTACTTGATACATTTTTTGAACCAGTGCTTTGTATTTCAGTTTAAGTAATATTATTTTCAAGTAACATTACCTTTGCTTGAGTACAGTTTTTGGCGACTCTACTCACCTCTGCATGTGCTGAATAACCAATAGAATGATTACTATCCATGGGTTTTAGAAATCTTAAAAAGTGGGGCAGTTGCCATAGCAATTAAAAACAAATGATCTATCTTTTGGATGCTCAAAAGTCAAAAACTGGAAACTCACAAATAGTAAGGTTGACATATGGTATTTTTTAATCTATTTATTAATTTATTAGACCTAAAATAATGGAAATTTGTGAGACATTTAGGGCTTTCATCATGCAGTTAATTATAGTGAATGCAAAACCCGTCAGTGTTGTCCAACCAAAGTACCTGAGTTCAGCTTCAGGAACTTTTGAGTGCACAAGATAAAATTAGACAACTATATTAGCTTAACTCTATTTAAATAATTATCTGTGTATTCTTTCCCATTAGGGTCATCCCGGTTTGATTGGACTGATCGGACCTCCTGGTGAACCTGGAGAGAAGGGAGACCGAGGACTGCCCGGACCCCAAGGAGCATCCGGAGGAAAGGGAGAGGCCGTAAGTCTGTGACAGGGCAATAATCATCAGGAAACTGTTACATCCCAGCTGAATTTGAGTCTAAATGAATAACTTGATTTGTTCTCTTTAATTCTAGGGCATCGGTGGTTCTTCAGGTCCACTGGGTCCTCCTGGTCCTCCTGGTATCCCTGTAAGCTCACTTTCTATTTAAATGTTATTATATTTTGTGCTCAATGAGTGATTGTGTAGTCTGTGTCATATCACGTTAATATGTCATTCTACTAAATATAATGTATACGTTTTCTCTTTAGGGAACTCAAGGACAAAAGGGTGCTAAGGGATCAAATGTAAGTGATTTTTTTCAGATTTATCAACTGATTTTGATTATACTTGATTATTACTGTTTATTTCTAACAACACCGACTATTGTTTTAGGGTTCTCAAGGTCAGAAGGGAGACCCAGGACTCATCGGACCACCTGGACCACCTGTAAGTGTTATGTTAATGTGAAATTTTGTAAAGCACACATTTAAAAAAATTAAGTTACTGTTTGGTTACACTATACCGATATAATCTTAAGTTATGAAGAAGAAAACATTGGGTTTACACAAATGCAAAATGCAGCAATATAGTAAATAGACCATTAACATTATTATTTACATTATTATTAACAATATTAATGCATTTCTAGTTGGTAAATGGTAAATTTGCTGTTAATATATGTAAATAACTAGTTGAAACAGGGTTGAACTAGCAGCCTTGTGGCAACTGGTTGATTGACTCAACCCCTAAAATCAAATCAGCTTTTACCTTGATTATTTCTATGCTCGCGATCACACATAAAAGTGTGCTGGCCGTAAGCAATGTTTCTTTGTAATTTCAATAATTTTTAGACATTTTTGAAATTTTTACAAATCAAAACTGAAAAAGTAATTTAAAAAGCAGTGAAGATCTTGAAAGAAAAATACAAAGGCAAAAACTTCAACACAAACTAATAAACCAGTAAATAGGACTGTCAAAAGAATTGCAAATAAATTGTTAATCAATACTAAAACTAGTATAAAACCAGATACTCATTTGAACAAGTATCAATACAAAAAAAGTCACATTCACAGGACAGAAATGAATCTTTGGCTTTAGATCTTGAGGAGTATCAGAACAAACAGACTTGTACTGAGAGACATAACAGATTATTAAATGCTGAAAATGGCCTTGAGTGTGAAGATTAATCCTTAGTATCAAAATCAAGTTCAAAATGTTAGTATCATGTATCACAAACACTAGCAGTAAGTGAAGTTGTTTGTGTTGTTTTTTTTTTAGGGTCCTCCTGCAGATGTGATCCAGCCTCTGCCCATCCAACAGCCCGGAAAGTCCAAGCGACACGTGGACGAGCAGAGCGACGCCGCCATGGTGGACTACGGCCTGGGCGAGGGCATGGACGACGTGTTTGGCTCTTTGAATACCCTCAAACAGGACATCGAGAAGATGAAGTTCCCCCTGGGCACTCAGGATAACCCTGCCCGCACCTGTCAGGACCTGCACCTGAGCCAGCCAGACTTCCCTGATGGTAAGTGACCGGGAGCAGAGAGAGAGATGGATGGATAGATCGATAGATGCGTAGGTGGATGGGTGAATGAATAGATAGATGGATGAGCGGATAGATTTTTTTACATTTTTTTTACATTTATTCGAGCTAAATTAGTGCTGCCCCAGTACAAATATATTTTATAAGCAGCTCTCGAGATCAAAACATAGGTGTGTATAGGCCACGATAATTACAATATCTTTGCAATAATGGGGAAATTTTTGCCAGTTTTATGTATTAATTTAAGTTTTGAGATGTAGAGGGGAGAAAAAATAACTTCTATGGACTAAATTTTGGTTATTGTTTATTTAAAAATGTGTTTACCAAGATTATCCTGCTTATTATTTTTGTATCAGTGGCATAAAGTAGTTTCAGTTTTAAGGTTTATCATAGTATTTCTCTGTACATCGTGCTTAAAAATGTGTTATTGACAGGCCTAGCTCTGTAATGTTTGCGTCATACTGGAAAGCATTTTACTGTTTCGATAATCAGGAAGTGCACATTGGCATACTAGTTGTTGTTGGCTTTAGTGGTAATTAGACTGGTCAGAATGCATGAGGTAAGTGAGGAATAAATCTGGACCACTGCAAACTCTTGATGTAAAATGAACTCATTCTGTTTTTCACGCTTTTCAGACAGTAAATGATAATATTTTCTATGTGTGTATTCTCGTCTTCGGGAAAACAAATGAGACCTCAGATACCTTTACATATTCCTGCAGTACATTCATTAGACGGAGCGGTTTTTGTGGTGTTGTGTTGACGCTGAGCTCTGTCTCAGGTGAATACTGGATCGATCCAAACCAGGGCTGCATCGGAGACTCCATCAAAGTCTTCTGTAACTTCACAGCGGGAGGAGAAACCTGCATCAATCCAGACAAGAAGTCCTCAGGGGTAAGACTTAACTTTAAATATATGGCATTTTTGGAATATAGTCTCTTTATGGAAATTGTATAATATGTTGAGTGCCTGAGTTTACCTAATATTGTTTATTGTACTCATGTCTTCACTTTAACCAAACTCAACCTTCTTGCTTGGAATGTTCCACAGTTTTTTATTACAAAGCAATATCTTGAAAAGCATGGAGGCAAATGCTTGTCTCCATGGAGATAGTTAAGTTTAAAGCCATGCTGTGGAATACTCCAGGCAAAGCAATAACATGAAAATTATAATTATTTATTCTTATTTATGTATTTATTTAATTGCTATGGGCGTATGAGTGTTTGTCCACTGATAAAGCGCTTTGAGTGCCTTGAAGCTGTAAAGCGTTGTATAAAAATGTGACCATTTTACCATATTGGACCTGGATGTACAATATGTTTATTATATTTATACTGGGACAGAGGACAATAAACATTGACCAAACTTTCTGCTCATTCCCACCTGTAGTCCTGGGGCTATACCTCATTTCTTTAAAGATGCATTTTGTAACTTTTTTCTGGTGGAGAGTCTGGCAAATGCTCTTCTCCTTGGAGATGTTAATGTTTTGTCTGAAATGTTTCACAGTTTGGTCTCTATCTTCATGGAGAAAAATGAGAACAAGTTACAGGTCAGATCTGTGGAGAGGCGACCTCGCTCACAGTCAGAATCCCTGTCTTTCTAGTTATTTTTGAGCAATAAAACCATCTGTAATTGAATAAATGTAAGGTAAATCTGTTTAATGTCATACTGTGGAACATTCCAGAGCAGTGCAGAGCAATGGCATATCCATCCATAGAAACAAACAGGTGATGGGACCTTCCACCAGAAAAGTTACACAATGCACCTTTAACATACATTCATATTGTGTAATTTATGTCATAATTGAGCTACATTTCTTTGTTTACATTAACCATGTACAAAACCACAGCTTTCCTGAACAATAAAATGATCAAATATAATGATCAGAGTTCCCACGGTCTTGGAAATCCTGGAAATTGAAAATGTCATTTTCCAAGTCTGGAAAAGTCAAGAAATTTTGTAAATTCAATGAAAGTTTTGGAAAAGGCAAGAAATTTTAGTATCTCTTTCACGCAACTACAGCGTTCTATGAAGTTCTAATTAAACTATTATGATTATTTCTGAACGTTTGCGCCTTTTGTTTAAAAGAGACGACAATAAATGCACTGACAGTATTTTGAATGTTAAAAAACTATAAAACCAAACCATCAGGTGAGTGGAAAGGGTTAACATTTCATATTTATCCCTAAAAGTCTGATCAATTCTGTACATGTAGGTGCTGAAAGTCATGGAAAATTCACTTTAGGTCATAAAAAGTCATGGAAACGTTTTGGAATTTTGTCAGTGAAAAAGAGTGGGAACCCTGAATGATAGAGGATGTGTTCGTATTTGAATGCATGTTGGTTGCCCTTTTGCTTTTTAATGGGCGAGTACTTCAAAGTGAATCTGTATAAGTGCAAATACAATTCCATTTTCTTTTATTTCAGGTCAGAATATCCAACTGGCCCAAAGAGTCTGCAGGTTCATGGTTCAGTGAATTCAAACGAGGAAAGATTGTGAGTACTTACTCCTTTCACAAACTACTTTTCTCTCATCCAAGGCAACTTTTAAATCCTTTTATTTCATCCTCCTTATCACATTTATGCTAGCACTTTATTCTCCATTGGATTGTCTATCTCTTTCTTATCAATCTTCTTCATAATTTCATTTTCCTATCGCTCCTAATCCCACCTGCACCTCCACTGAAATCTCTAGGCCTTCCTTTATTTATCAGATAGGGTTAGTTTGAAATATTCATCTTACCAAAGAAAAGATTTACAAACTTTTTGGACCAAGTAAGGCGCAGCAAATATTTCAAACTATACACTATTAAAATATAACCAACACTGAACTAAACCAGATTAAAACAGGGCAACAGTAATTGTATTCTTAACATTACTGGTCATTATAAAACTGGTATTAGTATTCTGTATATGTATGCTCAGAATTTTGTTATTTTCCAACATAGTTATTTCCTGTTTTATCTTGACTTTTCACTCTTTTGGCTCCATAAACCAAGGTCAACCATGTGTGGCTCATTCCCTGTTGAAAGATTGCAAACTGAAATGAAAACATTTTGCAAACCTAAATCGACCTAGTCCTGCTTCATGGGAAAGGACAAATATTCTAAAGCAACTGTGCAGGAACCAAAAAGGACAGCATTTTAAAATATTTTTCTATACGTTATTTTCTGATCTATGTTATAACGTTGTTTCCTCATCACGAACAGACCTGGAGTTGTGTTTTGTTTCATTCACACATGTTTAACACACAAATCCTGCAAATTTAGTTACTTTTAGTTCTTCTCTCAAACAGAAAACTTGTGGTGTCCTGTGATAATACAAGATAGGGCTGAACGATTTTAAGAAAAAATTGTATTGCGATTTTTCTGGCAGATATTGCGATTTCAGTTTCACCCACGATTCTTTTCAAATCAAGTTTTAGTGCACATGAACATTTGCAAACATCACCGAAACTTACGTCGTACCAGAATTCTGCACCTGACGATTTGCAGTGCAGCTGCAGGGTCTTAAAAGTCTTAAAAAGGTCTTAAATTATCTTGTCCAAGTCTTATTTTTTTCACAAAGGTCTTAAATTTCATTAGCCTATGTTTTTTGTAGACTCAACTGGGCTGCAGTGCGATGTTTAAATGAAGGGAGGAAAAAAAACAACATGTAAAGTGAATGAACATCTATTTTGGAGCTTGTGCAAACAATACTTAGGTTTCTGGCGCCGGCGGCAACGAGTAAACATTCAGTACAGTAGAGGAAGACGTTGGATGGATCATGGGAAGTGTAGATTTAATCCACAGTGGCTCTTAAATTCTAGATATAGTAGTTGGTTCTTCATTATTAGAATTGGATCTGGTGTTTTTCGCCCACATAATGGATTGGTCTTAATTTTCATTTAAGTGGTCTGAAAAAGGTCTTAAAAAGTCTTAAACTTGGGAGTTGTCAGACCTGCACATTTGTTTATGTTTTACAGAAATTAAACTTAAAACCACACAGATAATTTGCATAAGATATAAAAATTGGGCTTTAGGAGCACTGCAAAAAAACGCTGCTTTGACGTTCCCAAAATTGTGTTGTCTGAGATCGAGATTTTTGGTCCAAAACAAGTATAGTAATTTGAATGAGTCTAGCTCTAGAGTCACCAGTCTCTACTGAACTAAAGATAAATTGTAGCTGTTAACTTGAAAACTACTTCTACATGACATGACAAGGCGGAACAGAGCGTTTTGAGCTTTGAAGATGAAGACAGACTGATAATGAAGCGTTACTCAAACATGCGTGAATGAAACAAAAACAACTCCTGGTATGTTTTTGATAACATTATGTCATGGTTTAAAGCTCACAAGAGTCAATTTTGTGTAATAAAAAACCTTTAATACCTAAAACCCACTTGAGTAACACTTGCCCTGTGTCCTCAGCTGAACTACGTGGACATCTCGGAGAGTGAAATCACGTCGGTGCAGATGACGTTCTTGAAGCTGCTGAGCTCTTCAGCCAGACAGAACTTCACGTACATCTGTCACCAGTCTGTGGCCTGGTACGACGCCAAGGCAGACAACTACAACAAGGCCCTGCGCTTCCTCGGCTCCAACGACGAAGAGATGTCCTACGATAACAACCCCTTCATCAAAGCTCTCATGGACGGATGCTCGGTAAGATACGCTCCACACATTTTAAGATTTTAAGATTAATGGCAGTCGAATCAAATTTTGAGTGAACACTTTTAGCAAATTGAAAGTACCATAATTTCACCCACGAACAACAAAATGTCCTGTCTTATTCTGCATAAAAACTGCTAACCCTTTAGTTTAGGTCTGTATAAAGTAGGGACGGGCATGATTAGTCAATTAATCGATAATTGATCATTAAGAATTTCATCGATTATGTTCATTTTTAATTGACCAACTGAATGTAGGCTGTTGTGTAAGGAGACGAGGCTGCGTCTGACAGCGCAAACACTGGAGCTGCAGCCTCACAGTCCCACGTTTCAGCTCTGGTACCTCCTCGAAAATCACTCTATTCCTCAGTGAGTGTGTTTACGTGCACATCAGTGTCCCGGGTATGATCGGGTTTTTTGAGTATCCCGGTTTCGTCATGGTGCATGTATACGCAGTATCCCGGTTACTGCAACATAAAGTCCAAAAGAGTCCAAAAGACAAACACTTTTCAGTCTTTTCATCACAACAGTAGCCAAAATAAATAAATTGACCAACATAAATAAAGTGAGTGAAATGACTGTTAAAAACATGAAAACATGAACCATCTCCAATGCGACACACAGAACAGACTCACCATCATCAACATCCCTCTGTCACAGAAAGAGCACACATATTGCACTGAGTCGTGTCCTTTAGTCCGACAGAAGCTGAACCGCATCAACACACAAGGAAAGAGGCGTTTGTTTGTTTTTTTCAGCGCTTATAGTTAATTAGTTATAGTTTAGCAAATGAGCCATGCAGTTTTTTGTTTCTGTAAAACATAAACAAATGTGGCAAAGCTGCATTAAACGCGTAATAATCTCAAACGGGCTGATGTGGCTCTATAGTGGTTATGGTTTATATGTTGTAAAGTTTAGTTTATTTACGCAGCTTAGTAATAGGACCGTATTTTCCGGGCTATTAGGCGCTCTGGATTATAAGACGCACTGTCATTAAATGGTCTATTTTTCGAACTTTTTTCACAAATAAACTGCAAAGGACTTTAAACGAAACACAACAGTTGGATGGGTGAGTGGGACTTTGTTTGGCGCGTTCACGGTGACTCTGGGCTTTGTTCAGTTGTGGCGTGTAGGGAGGGTGCTGTCTGGGACCGCTGGATTGTTGGCGTGTTCGCAGTGACTCAGTTGTTCAGTTGTGGCTAGAAGTGGCACATTGGACTCACTTTTTTGGTTCGTTCCTTTGTTCCGTTCCTCGTCTGTGTGGAATGATAAGTGTGGCTGCGAGTATTTTTCGCTGTGCGGTCGCTGTCTGTTCCGTGTGTGTTTGCGTGTGCTGTGGGTGGTGCGGCTTTTTATTTTACTGAAGTCATGCTGGGACACCCGAGTGGATTCGTATGGAGGGCGCTGTGGATTGCGGGGCGTGCGGTTGCTTTTTAATAGGGTTAGGGGCTTAAGAGCGCGCCTAATAGCCCGGAAAATACGATAGTAATAATAACGATAATTTAATGTAAAAACGTTAATGATTAATCGCAAATTTATTATGAATTCTCCCGACAATCAATTAAGAACATTGCCCATCCCAAGTACAAACCACAGACTGTCTTGTTTTAGTTTGCCAGTTCATATTTCAGTCTTTTTGTCAATTCCTCTAGACAAGTTTAAAATGTGAACTTTGAGCAGAATCCTATTATTAAAACATAAATCGCAAATCGAATCACAATGCTTGTCAGAAAGAATTTTATATTTTTCCCAAACCTTTCACTCCTAATGTGAGTGTGATACTGTGAAATTGGGCTTGAAGATGGAGCTAATAGAGATTCTTTTGTGGAAATGTATTGCGTATTATGGAAGCGGAGAAAGTAGAAAAGACTGTGAGACTACAATTGTTTAATAAATGTTATGTATTTCCTCGTTGCACACTGCAGTATCCAGATAATGTCCTTTATTGTTATTATTGTTTGAGAAAATTCACATTTCTTGGGTTTTCTCAGCAACAGGTAATGTGTAGTCACTTACAATAAATAAGACAAAACCCCAAACGCAGTTACTTCAAACAGTATTCATGATTTGTACAGCGACATTTTACAGTGTGTAGAGGATAAAACGAGACACGCTGTATTTCATGATAAGAAAAATAACACATCAAAGGAGAAGAAATTGTCTAGGATTTTGTTTTTTTGAATTACTTTTAATATTCACTTGGTATGTTAAATGAAAATATTTGCAATCTGTAGCATCCCAGGTTGGTGTTTATATTTTAAAATGAATAAAGGTTAAAGTGCACTATGTAATTTTTGTGTTGGAGGGTCTGCCGCCTGCTTGTAACCATGGTGATGTTATTACTTTACCTGGAATTTTCCACAGTATGGCATTAAAGAACTATTTTCTGAACTATGTTATAATGTTGTTTACGCATCACAAACAGACCTGGTGTTGTGGTTTATTTTCATTCACACATGTTTAACCTCAAACTTGACATATTTAGGTTCTTTCCTCAGACTAAAAACACGCTGTTCCACCTTGTGATGTCATGTGGTAATACAGGAAGTTTAACTGACACACCTTCACTAGAATCATTGGATAATTTCAGATTTGGGATTGTCAGTCTTTTCTGATCAAAAGGTTAAAGGTAGCTGTGAACTTGAAGTCTTGACATCACAAGGTGGAACTGAACATTTTGAGCTTTGGGGATGTAGACAGGCTCATAATGAAATAAAACACAACTCCAGGTATGTTTTAGAGGAGTTCACATGTCAATTTTGCATAATATAGGACCTTAAAACGTAATTTATCCACATAGAGACAAGCAAGTCATCAGGCCTCAAGGCTTTTTTTTTTTTTTTTTTTTTTTTTTTTACAATAAAGCTATTATGTAACTGCATAAATGGAAGATGGGATAATTTGACATACTGTGGAACATTCTAGGCAAAACAATAACATCATAACATCTCCATGGAGACAACCAGGTGGCAGATCCAACACTAGAATCAGAAAAAATTACATAGTGCACCTTTAAAGGGCCCATACTACACTATTTTCTGATCGTGTTCTAGTGTTGTTTCTTCATTGAAAACACACCTGGAGTTGTGTTTTGTTTAATTCACACATGTTTAACACAGGTAATGTATATTTAGGTTGAGTTCTTCTCTCAAACTGAAAACACTCTGTTTCACCTTGTGATGTCATGTGGTAATACCAGAAGTTCTACACTGTGTTTTTTGTAACTCCATACACCTTCACTAGAATCATTTGGATCAGGCATGTCAGACTCAGGCCTGAATGTCAAATTTGGCCCGCAATATAATTATATTTGGCCCGCGAGATCATATCAAATATGCATTAGAGCTGGCCCACCGGCTATAGAGACATTATTTATTTAAAATTTTGTTATTATTTTATATTTAGCTTCTTCTGGATTCAGTGTTTAACAAAACTATTATTAAACATTTATTTTCATAAGAAAAGGTTTAACATTACATATCTCGAAAGAAGAGAAAACATGCAGATGTTGTTGAAATTTTTCAGTAAATATTTAGTTTGGCCCACGACTTTGTCCCAGTTTTTTAATTTTGGCCTCTGTGAATTTGAGTTTGACACCCCTGGTTTGGATGATTTCTGCCCTGGAATTGCCAATCTCTATTGAACTAAAGGTAAAAGGTAACTTGAAAACTACCACTTTGTGAAATCACAAGGTGGAACAGAACATTTTGAGCTTTGGTGATGTAGACAGGCTCATAATAACGTGTGAATGAAACAAAACACAACTCCAGGTATGTTTTTGAGGAGGACACTACATTAGAACATGGCTTAAAGTTCACAAGAGTCAGTTTTGCGTAATGTAGGACTTTCGTTTGCCATGCCAACTTTCGTAACTTCATAGCATGTAACTTTCATATGCCATGCCAAGTACATAACTAACCATTTGTGTTTGTGTGTGCAGATGAAGCAGGGCTACTCCAGGTCAGTGCTGGAGATCAACACGCCGCGCATCGACCAGCTGCCCATCATCGACGTCATGCTCAACGACTTCGGCGACGCCAACCAGCGATTCGGCTTCGAGGTGGGCCCCGTGTGCTTCCTGGGTTAGACGCCCCCCTCCCCGCTACAGGACAGGGTCAGACCCAAACCGAACCCCACCAGCCTTACCTCAAAAGCAAACCTGTGTCCAAGATCCAAGAGGAAGACTGTCCCAGGTCCCCCTTTTTAGAAACCCCAGATAGACCCAAGTCCCAAGACCAGACCCTGTCCCGGAGCGCAGACGGGACACTGCTCCTCGACCCTTGTAGGGCCACTCCACATGTCGGTGAAGGAGAGACATCAGGAACAAGGACAGTAAAGCTGCGGAGGACTATGGCGCACTCAGAGCAAAATGAAAGGATGCCTCGGCCAATGAGAAGGATCTGCTCGTTCTTTGCCCCGCCCTTTCCCACTTTAACCCCGCCCGTTTTCATCACGCTCCCATCTTCCGTCATTCACGTTCATATTTAGCTCCACTTGTTTCACAAAAGCCACGCCCACGCCAAAATTAGTCCGAAATTCAATCTTAATTTGACCAGATCTAACTTAAAAACATGAACAACGAAAAACAAATGTATATCTCACTTTCCTAACGCATTTATGATTAGAGACAGACAGCTCACAACGACCTCATCAGCTTATACTCATACTAGACCACGCCATACTCATACTTAAGCCCCACCCATTTTCATGTAGCCCCTCCCCTGACCACGCCCTTTCACCTCTAACTCCGCCCATTTCATCATCATTTCATCAAATCATCACATTGCTTTTTCATAGCTTTGGAGTAAAGGGGAGGATCTTGCTTTTTGCTTTTCAGACTCCATATGTCCATTAGCTCCACCCACTCTGTTTTAGCCACGCCCCTTCACCATTCCCCCGACCACACCCTTTCACCTTTAGCTCCACCCATTTCATCAAACCAAACCATCACGTCGCTTTTTTTGATCGCGTTCGAGTAAGAGGGAGACGATCGAGCTTTTCACCGTTTGCCCACTAGCTCCACCCACTTTGTCTTTAGCCACACCCACTTCATCATCAAGCCCCTCCCCTGGCCACGGCCCTTTTCTCCAGCTCTCAGTGCCGCCTTGAAAACAACCACAGATGTGCTTTGTGCGGAATCACAGAACACAAAAAAAGGTGCTAAAAAGTGCTTTTGATAAACTGTAATTATTATTATTATTTTGTACAATAATGTTCCTTCCGAATCCACTCCAAGACTTGCATGTGCCCCGTTTTTCAAGTTTTTAAATATTTGGAAAGATTTTTATTACAACTTTTAAAATTTATAATGTTTGAAAAATTGTCATGTGTAATTATAGAATAAGTCTTTGTAAATAAAAATAATTTCATGCAAACTGGAACAATCATTATTTTATTTTATAGATTTTGGCAAACGATTACTCTGGTGTTACCTCAGTGGATTTATTTGGCAGTTCAGTCATGTTTAGACACTTGCAATTCAATTTTTCATTACGACAAAAATTCAAATGTGTAATTACAAATTTCTGGTTAATTATTTTTCCTTGTAAGATTGAACTATTGTTTCTATGTGCCTTAAATTGTTCAAATATTAAAACTGGATTCTGAAAAAAGAAAGTGTCTTTTTGGAGTTTATCTAGAAGCTTCTGTATTTATGCACACATATGTTACACCAAAATATTCCTAATAAGGATTCTGCAAAGACTTACAACTGTTGTGTCATTTACTTGAGTAACTTTTGAAATAAATTGTACTTTTCAGAGTACTTTTCTAGCAGCATACCTTTAAACCTACTTGAGTAATACTTGTTTATTGTTTATTGAAGGAACAGTACTCTTACTTCAGATTTGGTTACTCTTCCCACTGTGAATAATTACATATAAAATAAAATATGATAACTGAAGCAAACAATAAGGTATTAGATAAAAATCCTTTCAGTCAATCCATGAATCACACTTTATTTATAAAGCACTTTATAACTCTCAAGGTGATCGAAGTGCTTCACATTAAATCAACTAAATATAAAAACATGCTAAAACATTAAACAGTGAAATAGAACAAATTGTGCGAAGTGTCACTGTGTTACTAGTCAGGTTGGCGCCACCTAGTGCCTCCACTCAATTTCATTTCTCTCCAGCAACTAGGTCAGGAATCGGCCAGTCAGTGAAGAGCTGGGAAGCCAAACGTCAAACTCAAGTGCCTGTCTGGGTTCATTTTGTGGTACAGTACAACAGTAAAGAAAGCGGTCGAGATGGATGTAAACGAAGCCGTACATTCTGTGTTGGCAACAATTCCTGAGATTGAGGATTTAAAGCTGGAATAAAGAGAATGTTTGGTGAATTTTATCAAGGGGAAAGACGTTATTGCCCTTCTTCCTACGGGATTTGGCACATTACATACACCAAATAGCAGCAATTATTTAAATAAAAAAGTATCCACCTACCATTGAACGAACAAATTCTAACACTGCGAGGTCAGACGGTTTCTACAAAGTGAAACCGGCTGATGAATTAGGCTATTGCATTACTGCACTGAAAAAAAATATATTACATTTACTTTGTGTTGTCGTGGTACTAAAATTTCAAACTTGATTCAGATACTAAGGAATAGACTTGATACTCTTGATATTCTGATAGAAGATTAGAAGATGATTCTTTCTAAATAGTAATAGTACTTTCTTTTATGTTATCACATGGTGAGGTCTGATATCTTTGTACATTCTAATCTATGTGCGCTTATACTTGTTTTGATACAGCTTAAGATCATTTTAAAGGTTCATTTCCTGTGAATGTGACTTTTTTGTATTGATACTTGCTCAAATGAATGTCTAGTTTTTGTCTGTGCATCGATTATTATCTGATTTCTGATATTTTTGATCTACAAAACACGCAAGTCAAATCATTTTGCAACTGGTTTCTATGCAACAACTCAAAAAGAAAACCAAAAGAGTTTGAGTGAACCTAATTGAGCTGTTTCAAAGCTGCCAGAGTGTCGACTGGAGCCATCATCTTGTATCCGTAAAGCATGTCTGTTGTGGTTTCCCAATAGCAGCGCTGTCACTGTCACCGCACTCTGTTTATATGAGTTGCATCAGCCGCACTGTCTCCTCTGTCGGCACACATCCCCGTACGCTGAGCTCTGATTGGGTCCAACATCAGCTCCAGTTTGAAGACGCTCAACTTTAAATCACCCAAACTTTTCCTTAGCAACAACCAACAGAATCTACGCAACGAAGAGACTGTTTAGACCTGTCCAAAGGCGTTCAGTTTTCAGAGTGATGGGAGCAGCTGTGGACCAGGAGTGTGCCAAGTTTTTCATCTATAACAGCCTTTCTCAAATAGTGGAGCATTGCAAAGCTTTTTTTTTTTTTTTTTTTGCTGTACTAGAATAAAGTGTAATTGCACATCCACTACAGTAGTTGGCAGTGACGCTCTCATTGTCAGAGTGTGCGCAGAGACTATTAGTGCTATAGTGTTGGGTTTGGTACTGAGCAAACCATGGATCTATTAAAATAACTGGGTAGGGTGTTGCTGCTTGTAGCTGTCTGCCTTTTGATGTAGTGGTCACTCACTGGTACTACAGCGGAGAAAATCCCCTGGCCTGAGACAAGATTTTTCTCGTAGAGCGCAATGTAATCACAAACTACTGACAGGGTGCTTACAACTTTCAAAAATATCCGATTTTGTGGCGATTTTTACCTATTTTTAGATCATACATTTTTTCTCAGCTCAAAATCCTTCAATTGTCTGAAAAAACAGTTTATAATCGTTCGCTCCGGCTCCGCTCTAGGTCCTCTTGCTCTGACTGGTCAAAGCGATCACGTGATACACGTGCCCACAGGAAAAAAAAAGCACTACTGCGCATGTTCAATCGACCCACAGCAGAAGAAGCTAGCTGGGCTAAAGGCGAATCTGGAGTTTTGCACCGTTGAGCTCGGCCTATTGACTTGAAAGGGCGACCATTTTGAAACCCCAGAGCTTGGAGCAAATGCACACACAACACTGATATGAAGTGCAGAGAACAAACAGTATGTAAAGTGTAGCGCTTGGTTTCACTTTGACTACAGTGGGAAATGAGGTAAGACCACCGTGAGGTAAGACCACCGTGTCTAAAAATGTCGTGAGCGGACAGCATAAAGCCAAATATATTACAGCATCGCTTAAAGACATTACACCCCAATCACTGATAAGACGCTTGAGTTTTTTCAGTGAAAACGTACCGAATATTTCCAACGATCATCCCTCTTTGTGAATGCTGCTTCAGTAAACCAGCGAGCTCTGTTAGCGTCATATAAGTTGACATACCAAAAAGCAGAGAAGCTGAGGAGTGGACTGCCTCATGATGCAGGTGAGCACAGCGTAGGCGACTGAAGGCGAGGCGATTTGTCCACGTTTGGTAGTGGTTCTGCGAAGTGAGGGGGCGTGAAATGTTTTCTTCTTCCTAGGTGGGGCATGATAACCAGGCTGGCGCCACCTAGTGCCTCTGCTCAATTTCATTTCTTTCCAGCGACTAGGTCAGGAATCAGAACACACCACAGAAGTATGAGTTCGGGCACCAGCCAATCAGCGAAGCCAGCCGTACATTCTGTGTTGGCAACGATTCCTGAGATCGAGGAGAGAATGTTTGGTGAATTTTATCAAGGGGAAAGATGTTATTGTCCTTCTTCCTACGGGATTTGGGAAAAGCTTTATATACCAGTTAGCCCCTTAGAGGCGCATTACATACGTCACGACCAAATAGCAGCGATTGGTTAAATAAAAATAGTACCCGCCTACTGTCAAGTGAATGCAAATTCTAACACTGCAAGGTCAGACAGTTTCCACAAAGTGAAACCGGCTGATGACTCAGGCTAGGGGCGTGACAGAAAACAATTGAGAAGCACTGATCTGTAGGCTCTATTCATGCTTAAGGGAAGACATCTGGAAACATGCAGATGTGGATGACGACTTCTGTTACCAAGTTACGACACTGGGCATGTGATGTGTGAAAACCTTGGATTCAGCAGCAATGGTCTTCACAACCTGCCAAGGCTTTCCATGGGGGATGTGACTCTGGTCGCTTCACAAAAAGAAAGAACACAATGAGTGCGTATACATGCACATCAGTATCCCAGTTATTAGCCATATCCCGGTTATGTCAGTATTCGGGTTACTGCGTATACATGCGCACTGAGAAACCGGGATACTCATATCTGTGTATACATGATCAAATGGAATATCCCGTTTCTTGACATAATCTTACAAATGCGCAAGCGCAAAATTAACTTAAATCAATTTCATAAACCAGGAAAAATACAAACCGTGAGCTCCTTTAGCATAAGAAGCTAAGGAGCTACGAGATGTCCCACAATCCACTGTGCACATCAAACCCAACAGATTCTTCATTAAAATCTTCTGCATAAATAAACTCAACTTTACAACATATAAACCATAAACACTATAGACACATCAGCACGTTTGATCAGATAATTCAGCTGTGATCACATTTGTTTACGTTTTACAGAAACGAAACTTAAGACCGCATCGCTAATTAGCATAAACTGTTAGCGGTGATAAAAACAACTCGCTCCTTGTGCCGCTGATGCGATCAGATTCTTTTGGACTAAATGACACGACTCAGTGGATTATGTGTGTTATTTCTGTGACAGAAGAGGCGCTAATGGTGGTAAGTGTGTTCCATGCGTGTGTTGTATAGGAGATAGTTCATGTTTTAGCTTTTCAGCGTCACACGAGTGCAGATTGTACGTGTGCAGGTTTAGCGCAGCTCTTAATTTTACAGTCATTTCACTCTTTTGGTCACTTTATTTATGTTGGTCAATTTATTTATATCGCTACTGTTGTGGTGAAAAGACTGGAAAGTATCTTTTGGATGCATGCGCACTCAACTTTATGTTGCAGTAACCGGGATACTGTGTATACATGCCACAAGTAACCCGGTTACTATCGGAATAAACCAGCTACAGTAACCTGGTTTCTAATAACTGGGATACTGCCATAACCAGGATACTGAAACCGGGGTACTGCGTTTACATGCACCATGAAGAAACCGGGATACTCAAAAAACCCGATCATAACCGGGTTATTGATGTGCATGTATACGCACTCAATGACATCTAGATGAAGAAAACTGGGACATGTTCTCAGTTTTCCCAGATTTTGTCAGAGTCGCCAACAGAGCCCAAAAGAAGTCGTCATCCGCATGTTTCCATGTTTTGTGACTTAAGCGTGAATAGATTCCACTGAAACTCAGACAAAGTAGTGTCTTATTTTGACTTGGGACGTGCATTGGGCTTTCCTGTTTTTGACTCAGGACCTCATTTGGACAAAGTACAAAGACCTGAAACTTACTAGTAAAGTAACGATTTGGTCCCACCTCTAAATCCCAAGAGAGAATTCAAATGTGTTTACATAGCACAGGTCAGACTGAGCCACCAGGTCTTTATTCAGACTCAGAACCTCAAAAGAGCATAATACAATGTTGGATAATACGTTCATAAAGTTTTTTCTTACTTCTTACGAGTAAAAAGCACTTCATTCAGTATTTTGGTCCAATTCACCAAGAAGCCTT